GTACTAGGTCTACTTTCATTGGAACAGAGAAGGTTGAGGGGCGAACCAGATAGAGGTGTACAAAATATGAGGGTTTTTGATGGGATAAACAGAGAGAAGGTTTTTCCACTGATATTGGAGTCAGTGACATAGTTATAAAACAGCCACAAGAACAGCAAAAGGAGAATTTAGAAGGATTTTGTTTTCACCCAGAGAGTTGTTGGGATATGGAATGCCCTGCCAAGTAGGGATGTGAACCAGTGCAAACTGAATGGGCCGAATGGTCTCTTTCTGCGCGGTAGATTTATGAAAACTATCGAGTGCCTCAAAATTATTTATTTGGGTCTTATGTTCACGGAAATGCATATGAACATTTTTAATTTGGGATTGAGAAAGAATGATAGTGTTTTGGTTTTATCATGGTAACTTCATGTGCGATTGAGATAATGATGTGTTTCAATGTAATCTACAGATTTATGGCACATACCTCTTAATAAAATGAAAATACTTTACCTTAAAGAAAGTCTTCCTTTAAATTTACCATTAATTAATTAAATGTCAGCGCTCCTCCAATATTCATTTAAACCCTTGCTTCATAACTTTGTAAATATTATATTTACAGTATATGCAGGATGGACTATTTCCCCCTAGTGGCAATCTAGCCCAGGTCTCTGTCAGCAAAACATCAAAGCTTACAGAGATAAATGAAAGCAAAAGGAAAATATATACTAGAATGCCGGTAATACTGTATGTAAATTCAGATAATAAAGAGATTTGTACAGGTTAGAATATTACACAGACCTAATAGGGCATACAGTATATTGCAGCGAGAACTTAAAATGTTTCTGGAAAGAGATGATTTTGTGTTAATCTCAATTTAAATGAGACAATTAAAGAGTAATAAAAGTGAAGGAAATTTAACAAAAAAAATTCTACCAAAGGGGGAAATGTGAAATTTACATTCACAGACAACCTTGAACCATGATGCTGGTCGCAATGTCTAGTAAAGAATAAAAAGGTGCAGCATTAAACTATTTATACATTACTATGGCAAGTTAAAGCTTGACTCTTTCGGTTAATTGAAGCAATTTCAGTTTCCCTGAGGTGTGTGAATGGAATTTGTAAGGAGATGACACTAGACTGAGTTTTGTCAATATAAATGTATACTCAATATATTCTATTGTTCAAAGTAGTGTTACCATTTTTTTTCAATACCAGAAAGGCAACATGAGCACATTTCCAGCTCTTCTGAAAATAAATGTTGTATTAAAACCCATGTAAATAGATGAAACCCTTGTTGGCAAATTTATACTGACTCCCAGATAAATGAAAGCCGATACTTAGTGGTTTAGATACAAAAATAAGATGTGAAGAGTTTGCCAAGTCCCATTTTTTGGGGCTACATCCTGTTCCTGGGCACTGACTATGTGTACATTTGTGTACATGCCTTATTTTGCTTAATTCTCTCTGAGAATTTTGCAGTGTCACATTCTGGGTGGAAACTGAATGACATTGAAATAATTTTACCCCCTAAGTGATGAATGTTGGCAACTCAGCCAGTTAACCGCCACTGTCAGTTCTTTGGAATAGTATTGCAGTTGGATCATAAGCAGAACATGCTTCACATAATTAAATGATATTGTCAGCATTCATAAATACCTCTGGGTGCCTGCAAGCACCCATCAAATTGTTAATCTGGAGACCGAGAATTCCTGTGGTGTGAGAAACCAAACCCGTTTCAGACGGGACTTCATTACATAGAAAAAGGTGTGGAACAACAATAGTTTGCACTTAAATGGCACCTTTCATGCAGGGAAAATGTCTCAAAGCACTCACAAAGCCTGTACATTTACTCTAGATAATAAATTGTAATTTCCATCTCAGAATATTTGACTAAACCAACCAGAAAATTCATACTGCTGAATTGTACCTTCGTAAAGGCATGATGAATTTGTTCAATTAAATCAGCCAGTGCCGTTTAGTGTAAGTGAAAGACACAGATTGCAGTTATTGGATTGCTTCCATTAAAAATTCATACCTAGGGTTTAAATTGAGGCAGTCCATTATTTTGGAAATTACTGGCAGTATGGAACAGGCCTCTCAAATTTACTCAAATTGGTATCCAATTCCGCTTATAAAGAGATAGACATTAATGGTATATTTATGGCTCAGACATCCTCATAAATGTCAATATTAAAATATGAAGGTGGAGTGGGGGGGTGGTTAGTTGAGATATTTCTTATAGGCAATCCTTAATAAGGAATCAGAGTTGTTCAAATGAGATTCTTTCTGATAACCAAAAGTACACAATGACAACCTATGGAACGCCGTTCCAATGCATTCTTCCAGATTGGAGTTCCAGGTCACAGGAATTCCTTAAAAGGAAATTGAGAGACTGCTCCTAGAAAGTCCTACTTGTCCTGATTTCAAGGTCACTGGCTCAGGTACAGTAATTGCTATAAAAATAGCAATGGCATGTATGAATCCTGCGGTTGTAGACTCCATTATTTTATATTGGGGAAATTATTGTGTTAGAATTAGAATGATAGGACTAGCCATGATGGCCATCAACCTAATTTAGTTGGGTAATGGTGCTGATATTCGTGACTGTTAAGCCTTTGAGGGACTTGAATGGCAGCAAACAGACTATTTCCACTTGGCTGGAGAGAACATGTCGTTGAGCCCAAGGGATCCGTGCGGCAATCTTTTTTTTATCATGGGCTTTCATGCTTAAAAAATGTTCACACAACACTTTAGGGACTTCTTGTTTAAAAGCAGCACAGCAGAAATACGCAGTTCACCATCCTTCTTTGGGCATCATTCTCTGACCTTCTCATTGCCATGCAATCTTTGAAGAACTGAACTGTTTAAGAAATGAAAACATAAATCCAACTTGGTTTTGTTCCGTTGTCAACCCCCACCCCGTCCGAGTGAAACACATAGCAGGTTTCCATCAAATTTCCTAAATAATTTAATGCTCCCTCTTGAGATCTGTTATGAACGTATAAAAAAAAATTCAGAAGCAAGATAAAAACTGTATTTAACTGCACTAGGCAACACGAACAAAAACACACAGAGAATAGAAATTTATCCAAGAATCAAATCTCCCAGCGAAGAGAGTACAGGACTGCTGGAATTTCTTTCACGTGGTTTGAAAAAAAACACCATAAATAGTCGTGTGTATTCTTTTCAGTCATTGACTTTTCATAAATCATTCTGTAAACTCTGATGCGAATCTGTTAACGAAAAACAGCAATTGGTTTAAATTAGGTCATATGTTTCACATTGCTGGTGAATATGATCTTATATTTTACACCCACTTTTTTATTTAATTAGTGGCAATAAAAACCATAGTCCTTACATTCAATATAGAACCTTTGAGACAACGTCTTAAAGTGCTTTGCAGGATATACCGTAAAGTCTCGTGATTGTGTGTTTTATAAGGCAAATGTAGAGGTTACTAGGGGATGTTTACTGTTCCTTGAAAGTTCACTGTTTATGTAAATCTGTGCTGCTTGTTCAGCATCTGAAAGGGTACAAATTGTTTTTAAGAAACTATCCCGAGATATTCTTTAAAATCCAGAGAGACAAAGCAAGTTGATGGAAATGAACAGTTGGTGTCAAGCAATAAAATGCTAAAGTTTCTCTTCTTTTGAAAAAAGAGGTTTTAAGTACTTTAGGACGCACTAGAACAGTAGAACAAGAGGACATACATTTAGAATTTCAAATGGAAATTTCAGGATAGAGACCAAGAAATTTTTCTTTATCCAGAGTGGAGTTAACTAATGGAACAGGTTGCCAGGAAGGGTCGCTGAAGCTAGCAAACGCCTCGCAAACCAAGATCATGCTTGAGCTGGCCACCGGGGGCGGGGGCTGGTTGGGGGGTAAAATATTAGCAGCTAATACTTAAATGTTCAATGCCAGGGTTTGCCCTCAACAATGAAAAATATGTAAACCATTAGCATTCACCCAATGAAGTAAATCTACTGAAACAAATTACTCTCCAGCTAAAAAAAAAGAGATCTGCGCAGATAAACTTAATGGCACATGGTAGTTTACTGGTCTAAAACGCCCATTGGTCTTGGGAATTCTCTTAATTTGGATACATAAACTATAGTATACGTCTGTAATGAAAAGATTAGGATCTATTGCAGTTGGATTCTGGGATAGCATTAACTTTGTGCTTCCTGAATTAAGTGCTTCCAAATCAGTCAATCAACCTTCCGCTGTCATGAACGATGTATTACTATTGAAAATATCAAAGTAAATGTGATCAATTCTGTGCCTCTTCCCATCTGATCGTTTTAAAAGCAGATTTGGTTACGTAACCAATAAACCCAAACATTTAACCACCATTAGTGTATTTCAAAATACCTGCCTCTTTGTTCACATTGGAGCTGTTCAGTAGCAATTTAAAGCACATTTGATTTGAAGAACACCGTCTGTGTCTTTGTTCCTGCCCTTGACTGTTTGCTGATTATATGGAAACAGACACTCAGCTCTGCTTGTTAGTCGTAATAAAACCCAGTCTGAAAATAATTCAGATATATTCTGAGTGGAAGGTTAATGAATAATGCTGAATTTTCAAACAGAAAAAAACACTATTGTAAATGTAAAAAGTGTTAAACAGCCTGCACGGATTCTCATTGTAATATGGAGTATACATTATGTTCAGCGATGGAGATTATTTAGTCAAGTCAAACTATAATTCTCTGAATTGTTGGGGATTGTGATTCAGAGAATTATTGTGCATTAGTCTTCAGCATAATCAGTACAATTGCTCCTGGAAACCCATCTCAATTGATGGCCACCTTGCAGATATTGCGACTAAATGAGCTGAGACATTGATGATCCTTGCTTCAGATACCTGATTAACACTGCCACTCAGGTAGTTCTGCTTTACTCCAGAGGAGCCGAGGTGTGTGGGAGGGCAGCTTCCAAAGCGTAGTCAGGTATAATCACTCAGCTCTTCTGATTACTGCCTTCACTCTTCAATGTCTGAATCTTATTTTAATTCATAGGGTTACTGGAGGTGAACTTTTTGAAGATATCGTGGCCAGGGAATACTACAGTGAAGCAGACGCAAGGTTGGTAGCCCAAAATATGCTGGATTGATGTTGTCCTTCCCATAGGACATTCATTATTAATGAAAATGGAACAAAGAGTGAGGACTTTTCATGCTGTAAGTGATCTTCAATAGTTTCTAGGGAATAGTTCAAAATACATCACAGCTTGTGACTGAGTCACAAATATTGGGCCAATTTTGGGGATTGAGAAAAATCTTTGTTTTAGTATGTGTCTAATATTCTACGCATACTGATTGTTAAATATATGTTCAAATGAAATGCAATTTGACTTTTCTCCCAACATGTGCAGGATATACCTATTTAAATTCTACTTAACCACTGGATTAGTACTTACATTGTGCCAATTCATCTGCTGGAGTTGTCAATGAGCTGTAAACACACTGACTACTTCAGTAACCTGAAAGCTGTGTTGGACTTTCCTCAAACTTAGGGTCCTTTTTTATAGCTTCTTCTTGAAATTGGGTGGGCAGGGAATTCAAGAGCATAGTTGTCTGAATACGGTCTGTCCTCTAACATTAAGTCTTCACTTTAGTGATAGCAGATTTTGATCAAACTTGATAAAGGACTGCATCTCCTCATGAAAACATCAGAAACAGAGGATTAACTCACACCAGGAATCTGATTACTGCCCTGTGTTTGTGTCTGTAGTTTAGTAACTCACAAAGACAACCATAATTGCGAAAACGTCACATTTGATTTCACTTGAAAGAACTTTGTTAGTTGAACAATAATCGATGCATTATTTTCAGTTAATGAATATAAATTCAACACTATCAGTCCTGAGTTTCCTAAGTTTTTATTGCTGTTCCCATATCTGGGGAAGCACTTACAGCAACACTCTTGCAGTCATGGACAGGATACAAGAAAAGGCTTGTTGTCTGTTAGATAATCTTTGGCTCAACTGTAATGCTTATTTTCTCTGTCTCACCCTTGCGCCCTTATGTCTCTATTTTATTGATATCATTATAATCAGTTGCCCTTCTGAACTGTCCATTCAAGCTCCAAATTGCCCTTCTGCATGCTCCTCCTCCCTGCCTTGAAATCACAACTTGGATGCGTAACCTCATCACTAACTCTAACGCAATTGCTCCAGGTTCCTGCTCTATGCATTCCACCTGGGCTTCTTTTTATGGAACAAATGTGATACTTTCATTATTAAAATAAGTGGGATTAGAAAGTTGCTTAAATTCTATCCATGCCATGCACTATACATTACATAGATTGGAGGATTTCCAAATGCAGATGGATTCTGTTGAAATACAGTTAGCAGTAGCAACTTTCTACTCATAACTGTCTTCCACAGTGCTTGACATTTAATGTGTGAACTGTAGGGAGACCTGATTTACTTAACGGGGTCAAGATCAAGTCACTTTTGTTTAGCTCTTAGGTATTTTTGTTGTAAAGTAATGCATTTAATTACAGATATTTAGACAAGCAATTACATTTTTCTGATGCTTGGCACAGCGTAACCTCAGCGACATCATGTAAACAAGCAAATGACAAAGATGTCTACATGAGGAAAGCAGGCTTACTGTCAGGCCAGGATGAAGCAGGCTGCAAACCATTTTATTGAAGACCCGTTGATGGGGACTTACAAAATGAGAGCATGTTTTATTTTGGATAATAAGAAAGCCTTTGGCTGCTGTTATTTAATCAAATGAATCTTAATCCCTGAAAATCTGTAATAATCACAAACCACATTATGTGAGTATTGATTGTGATTCAGGACAAAAATGCTGAAATGGTTCACATAAGTGACTAATAACATGCAGTGGCATACAAAGCTGAGGAATGGGATAATAGTCCACATTCGAGGTCACATCTGTAACTCCAGGACAGACATTTAGAATTATTTTAATAATACATTTGTAGACTAGAGCAATTTATAATTAACAAGGATTACTCTGGGTCTATCAGAGAAACAGTCACTGTTCTTTGCCATGCAAAGGCTATTTGTTTTAGTTCCCTCTTTAATACTGCTGTCTATTATCCATAGACAGCATGTTACTAAGCAATTACATTAGCTGTGATATCCTTTGACCAGCGTCTGAATGTGATTAACAATAATCCTTGCATTTAGTATAGCCCCTTATCACGCCATCGAGACGTCCCAAAGTGCTTTACAGGATTTTACTGTTAAGTGCAATGACTGCATGTTTGTTGGCAAACACGGCAGCCAATTTGCACATAACAGTATATTATTTACAGTATGTTCTGTGAAGTGCTTTGAGATGTCTAGAAGATGTGAAAAATGCTCTATCAAACGCAAGGTTTATTATTATATAACAATCTCCCACAAATAGTCATGAAGTTAGTGAGCAATTCTGTTCAGGGGGTTGTTGGCAAGAACAATGGTCAGAACATTACTCCCTTCTCTTTTTGAGTAGTGCCATGGTATCTTTAATATCCACCTGAAAATGCAGACAGAACCTCAGATTTTAACATCTTATCCAAAAGATAACACCTCTAATATTATAGCACACCCCAGTATTGTATGGAGTGGCTGTAACCATACACAAGTGGTACTTGAGGCAAACAGAAGGAAAAATATATCACCATTCCAAGTGCTGTCTTGCTTGCTCCCCCTCTCTCTATTTCTCAAGATTTTTTGTGCTAACTGAATGGAACCACCCTCATTGTTAGTTATAAGTTACAGCAGCGTAATAATAGTTTCAGGAAACTCCGGCTACAAATGATTTCTTCAAGCTTCAGGGACTATCTTAGAATTATTACTAGATGATAGCATGCAATATTTATGTACTGATTTGAATCACCCGTCACAGCAGATTCTAGTCCAAGAATGTTGTAATTCAGCAACGCAATCCTGATATGAGAAAAGGATATCAACTCTGTTCCTCCACAGTATCATTGTCCCCATTTTCCCCCACCCCCCACTACCCATTTAACAGTTCCTAATTATATGCCTGGCCATTTTAGGCTTTCTCAAGGGAGCAATTTGCTGTTTTATTAAATCTTTTTTTGTACCTGTGGAAAAATAATACAAGAAAATATTGACAAAATTAAGTGATGAATTTCAGCCCATGTTACTGGTAGATGACTCTCACAGGCCAGCGGGGGTTCCTGTGAGCTGCATGTTGCAGTCTGGAATAAAGTGTTTCCTGATGAGCAGGAGGAGCTGATGCAGTAGGTAAATGTTCTGGACACAGTTCTCCTGTTGCTCTCAGCGATGTACATGTTGACAGCTTCTCTGGTTTTCAACAAGAGCTTCCTGCATCCCTAGACTTCATCCAGAGAAACAGAAACTCAGGAAACTATGAGGACCCTCCTACTGCTTGGGTCAGCCTCTGTCTCTCCTTTGGAACAAAAGCACACAGGAATCAATTGGAACATTTGAAATGATCCCAAATGGGCTCCCAAAGCAAAGCCTTATTCTCCTGGAAATTGAACGCAAGATGAGGTTTCTTTCCAAGATATACTGAATATTTGAAGCGTGAACTGAGTTCAGCAGCACTGGAGTGTCTGGCACCCTTTGGATACCCAGCGGCCTCCTCACAGAGATTATTATGCTGTCAGACTTGCAGGACTGAGCTGTTACACAAGTGAAACTGCTTTCTGAACTCATCATCAGCAGTGACGTGCTCTGTTTATTCCAGGTCAGAGACGGTTCCCTGCATCTCAGGGGGTTCTAAATACTGTGCAACTGGTGCTTGGTGTTTTAATTCATCACTGCTGTGAATAAGCATTCTACTGGGCAGTCATTCAGTCCACAGAACAGATGAGATCCTTGGTTAAGGAATACAATCAAATCCAAATTATTTCTACAAGCTTCAGGGACTATCTTAGAATTATTACTAGGTGATAACAGATTTTTATGGTTTTATGTACTGATTTGAATTGCTCGCCACAGCCAATACAACATGTTATCCTAGTTCTTTTTGCTCAGCACAGTATGCAGTCAATCACAGCCCTATCAGAAACCTTTAGGTTTCTGGGTTTTACACTTCTGTGTAAAAATTGACTTTTTTTCAAACTCTTTATCTCTGCTTCCTCCTCTCCTGAATGCACTTCGCTTTATGTATTATTACAAAGTTGCCCTGCACCCCCTTGCTGTACACCAGAATGACGGTTCTTCCTGTTTAAACTCCGAGAGTCAGTGGCTTGCTATCAATAGCAAGCTATGCGGTTTTAGCTGGTTAGACTACAGCAGTACCCCAACGCACACTCTGGGATCCCCAAGGCTTGGCTCTTGCAAACCTGTGCCTAATACTCTCTAGAATTAGATAAGAGGGATGCATCCTTCAAGGGAGAGAGTGCATATTCCATTCAAATAATCTCTGGAATCTCCATATGTAGGTGGATGCATGAAATTCCCAGTTTGGTTTGGATACTCTTAAGCATGGCGATGGGTTTCCGCACATGTTAGACAGCCAAGCTTGAGCTTCATCTGTTGCCCACAAACTCATGCACCTCCCATTGGGGCCATAATGAGGTGGGGATATCAGGTTTGTGGCCCAGTTTGATATTGTCAAATATCAGGTAAAATCACCTCATTCAGAACAGCACCAGGAATCAAACCTGCAATCTACAGACTCAGTAGCTTTACTAGTTGAGCCAAAATATATTTCCATTTATGTGTTTATTGGGAATTAATCAATGAATCAGTGAAGTAACAATCTTAACACAAAAAAAACCTGATGGTCTACTTTTGTTTGCAGTTGGTAGGAATGACATTCCAAACGTAAAACAATGTCAATAACAAAAATGCTTCTGATTTACAAGGATTGCTGGATACATCCTGAATGTGGAGCTCAGACATTTTATAAACATGTGCTGTTTGAGAATTATGCTTTCAATGTGTATAAAGATGAAGAGAATGTGTGTCGCACAGCAATATAACCAAACAAAACATTTATTAGTTCAGTTGATCACTAAAACAACAGCCGTTCACTGCTATTCCTTAAAAATAAAAACAAAGCACCTTTTCAACTGAGGAAAAGCAAATGTGGTAACACTATCTGAAAATAACTCCAGCAGAACAAAAAGGGATTTAATCAACAGCTGTTGTTGCCATGGAAACTAAACTCGGGTTAACCATTTCGGCTTAATACACAAGAGTTACTCAGGAATTGGGGTGATACACAGACAGAAAAGTGTGCGTGTGAGGAGTGATTTGTAATGAAATGAGAAGTGATGCGTTAGAAATGTACTACCTGGCTGGTCACCATGAGGAAACGTCAGATCTTTGTAATCTTACCCGGATTAATGTTGCATGTAGAGACAATTGAACTCGTACAATTCCCATTACAGGATCGATAAATTCCCTTAAATTTACTGTTTGTGTTACATTTCTCAATGCATATTTTTTCATTCAATATTGAAATCAACTTCAGGAACATGGCACTAACTGTAATTTTGACATTTCATTTGCTTATTTAATAATATTTACTTGATTGAAATATTCCTTTTTGGTAAGACACTTATTTTATATATTTTGATAACTAACATTTTTAGATTGCACAAAATTATTATTAAAGTACTGTATATATATATTTTTAAATGCCAAGTGTAGAGAGAAATTAAACTTTACCAAGCTGTTCTTTTGTCCACTGAGTTGCAATAATGTTAGCTATTGTTTTTTTTCATTTTGGGGAAAAAGATTAGCAGTTTGCAAAAATTGGAGCATGCTTCATTTTGTGTTATTTAAGTACTTTCCTGTGGGTGTCTATTCAGTCCGATCGTGTCTTAGTCACATTCAGCCAACAGCGACCTTCTTAACCATTCAGCATTGCTCATCAACACTCTGCAACAAAACTTCTTGTCTTTCAGAAAATTATAGATCCACCAAACAAATGCTGTGGCAATGGGATGTGTGATGAAGTCAAGTCTCGCCTTTCACTGCCTTATGGTGCTCCACAGAGACTTGTTTGTGGTCTTCTATCAGCAGTCCCTTTAGTTATTCTAGTTAATGTTGCACAACAAAACCACATCTCATTCATGACTCGAGAGTGAAAGTCTGTTTCCTGCACAGCACTAGAGAGTCATGAGCATCATACCCAAACACCTAAAAATGTTTCACCGGCTGCATCTAATATTGTAGCATCACCCTTGAGTGGATTTCTCGCTGCAATGCACTCAGTTCTCAGGAGAGGAAAGTAAAATAAGACTCTTCTTGTGAACTATTTTTAACAAGGCCAATTAAATATTAACATACTACATGTGTGGGAAAAAGAGAAATAGGATACATTTACCGTTAATTCCACTGAAGGCAGATGTTCATTCTCACAAGTAATGTCACCTTCAGTTGATTCCTTCCTCTCCCATAAGCCAGTGATTACGGATGTGCATGAAAGGCTTTGTATAGTTTTTAAAAACAAATACACAAGGCCTGAACTAAAATAGATCAACTCCCATTATACACATACATTGGTTTGTTCACCTCTTCAATTCCTCTCCTCCTCAAGCCCTCTCCATCTTCATCTCTGACATTAAATGGAGGCAGGCCTGAGCTTCCTCATGACCAAAATCATAACAATCCCCCTGACCACATTCTCCTCCTGCATCTTATCCCGATGCACTCATCTGGCACACTTTCGCCTCCATTACTCCTTTTACAGTCCTGGCATGCCTTCTGGTGTGAATCAGACTTAATTCTGTGCCATTTTCCTTCAAGGCCTTAAATACCTTTTTTTCCCTCTTGATGAGTTACTTTAATCCCACTCTTTCATCCCACTCCATCCTCATCTCCCACATCAAACCCACCACCTGCTCTCATAACCCCCCCCCCCACCCATGCCTACCCAGCTTCTGACAACCCAATTGCCTCTTCCTTTGCCCCTTTCTTATAGATGTGATCAACTATTCCATATCTCTGTCACTATTCTGACTTCCTTTTAAAACAGTCCACGCCCTTCTTAAAAGCTATCAAGAGATCTCAGTCCTTTTCGCTAACGAGTGACCAACCCACCTCCCCGCCCTCTTACAAGCAGGAAAGAGAGCTGTATTGTGTTCTCTCCCAAGGCCGTCACTAGAAGAATGACCTTTTATATTATGGACTGGAGAACTGCTAGTGACAGCACCTGAGTGAGACTCACACTCTCGAGTAGGGAAGAGGAAGGGAGAAAGGTCGGCTGGGGAACAAAATGCTCTTTTACAGAATAATACATCTTGAATTTAAATGCACGCTTAATTCTGCAGTCTCTTTGTATTATTAGATTGTGACTCATGCTTTCCAGAACAAAGGTGAAAGTCAGAAGGGAGATAGGATGCTTCACATGATGTCACAAGAAGTACTAAAGTGCCTCATTACTATTAATAGTCCCCTGAGGAAACTGAATCAAGATCCCAAATAAATATATCCTACATTTTATGTATATATGTGTATATATATAATGTAAATATATAGTACGCAAGTTGTACAGGAGATATTGGAACACTGGATTTCGTATTTTAAGTCTTGCGTTCCATTCAGAAAATCATTGCCTCTTTCAAGGGTTTTAAATTTTTTGCTAATTTTCTATGTTCCTTCACACTGATTCTTTGTGTTGAGATGGTTCCTTGGGGACATTTTCAGCATCTTGCCCAAGAGGTCAATCTTAATGTATCAGTCCTGTAAGAGAACTTAGAATATGGCTATTAAACCATGTTGAACAGTATGTGTAGAGGTGGGGGAGGAAGATGGCCTGAATCATTAAATCCAACAATTTTCAATTTCTGACTCAATACTTTCCTTACACGTTACCAAGCTATTGTTTCAAAATATTCCATCAAGAGCAAGCAATCCTTTTCCTGTAAATGGATGTCACCCCAGTAAACTGGTGTCCAAAGCACCAAGGAAGGTCTAACACTAACCACACTTCCACACACTGAAATCGTAAATACAATCATCTCTGCATACTGTAATGCAGTAATCTCCACTATAATGCAGTAACTGTGTGCCTCAGTTCAGGATATTTACTATATGTTGTCAGGATAGGGAACAAAATCTCACTGTATATCCTCAATATTCTCCACAAAGACAAGTGGATTAAGGTAGAAAATTCAATTCTATTATAGTATATTGAGGACAGGATCTTACTGTCCTGATTTATGGAATGAGCTTGGAGATCAAGGCATTTTAGAAGTCTCTTGCTCTAGGACAGGAACCAGCTAGTACAAGGAAAGAGCAGTGTAAAGGCCTCATCCAAAACTCTCATCTCGGGCTTCTTTCTGAATGTCACTGGAGCAGGAAATTCCTTCTTTCTTGCCTACTCCACATGAAGCAAAAGTCAAGTACCAGTTTCATCAACTGGATGTAAGAACATTTCCTTTAGTGTATAGAGCGCAGGGCAAATGTATCAAAAATCTGCTCAACTGTGAACCAAAGGCAGTTTGCTATCAGATTGAATTTTATAGTGTTGCCAGGTTTATGGGGAGAAAGCTGGTAAGATTCAGAACAATTCAATGTGAGCACCACCTACTACTGTGCAGGTTAACGTTTGCTTGCCAATATACTTCAGAACACAAGAAGGAGAAAGATGGAACACCTGTTATGTTGTTCCCTCTATATGGACCAAGTACAATTTGGCTCCATCATGGACTTAACACATGATCTCCTGAGAGAGGCAGACCACTTTCCTCCTCCAAAATACTTTATGTACCTTTCCCAGAAGAACCCCTCCCCAATCCCAAAGATAATACAACTTTATAATTAATATTACTCAGCTCCAACCCAACATTCTTCAATTTATTCCAAAACAGATATTTCTGAAGGAGTTACGTGACGCAACATTGACTGCCTTACAGAAGGTCTAATTACTGTGAAGTTGTTTTTGCTCAATAAATGAGTAGAATTGCGGTTTGCTTCATGAGGTGCTTTGTGGGGCTGAGAAAATTGTGCACACATTTCGTTGTGACAAGAATTGAGTTCATCCACATTGTTTAATCTTTAGTCAATGCATCATCTGAATAACTGATCAGTTATCCAATGTTTAAAAAAAACTTTAATTAAATCAGTGAATCCATGTTTTGTTAATTGAATGTTCATTTCTGTAATAACATTGGGGCACTTTCAAACCTATCTTGTCAACAAAACGTGAGGAAGAAATGTTTGACTTGTGAAAATTGTTAACATGTTATTGCTTTCTTTGATTTAACAGACTGACTGTTGGTCATTTTGTGTATATGCTTATTGTGTTCCTTGCACAGAAACAGCAGTACAGTGCAACTTTCATTCAGGATTGGCATTAACCCAGTGATGATCTCTGTGGTCACCAGTTTTATTTCCACAGATGCTTATCTGGAATCTCTGCCAGTACTTCACTAGACTCATTTGAGTCAATCTCTATGTTTCTGTTGCCTGTTTCAGTTGACTCACTTTTCCACATGTAAATATCAGTTGTTGGTGCTTCAAAGATGACCAGGATTAAATAGCTATTAAAAAATTTCAACTTGGTAAATTTTAAATCTGATGTATTTTTAAACCACCTACGGTATTCGCTCTGAGGAAAGAGTGGTTACAGAAGGGTGTGAACCATGTAATGAAACACAGTGTGGAAACAAATCTTTAAAAAATCAACAGATTTATTAATTACCTGAAACAGTCCACATCTATCTTGGAGCACTACGTGCCCAGTAAAAGATCAATGTGATTAATGTTTTTCCTGTTGTTTGATACGACTTCAGTTGACCGTTGATATATTTATTCCGGGTTACCAATGCAAAATGAAACTGTTGGTTTTATTAAGACTGAACGACACGTGTTTTGTTGCTTTTCCCAATGTGCGATAACTTGTGGTCTCTTCACTTCCTTGGCATTCACGGATCCTATGGTTTCTCCTCCCTTTCCTTCTCCCAAACACGCCCCCAATCCTTCCCTTTGTCTCCTCCCTCCCCCTTGTTTTGCAGTCAATGCATTCATCAGATCCTAGAAAGTGTTAATCACATTCACCAACATGACATAGTGCACAGGGACCTCAAGGTCAGTATCTACTAACAAAGGCATGAGAATGCAATTATCTCATGCAGGAGCACTGTATACTTACTGCATGTTGTCCAAGTCCGGCTGTTAAGAATCCTTTACTTGAGATTTCCTGCCTGAGTATTTTACTGTCCCAAAGCCCTAAGAGCTATACTTCATGACAGACAACTGACCATTATCCTTCTACATTCTTAATGGCCATTGCCTCTGCCAAATCAATAAGAATGGTCCGAGTGGCTTGCATGTCAGGCTGGCTTTTATTTCCTGCTGCAACAGCAACTGTAACAATTAACAGCATAAATCACAAGGGCTGTCACCATCCCTCCTGAGTCGGGGAGGGCAAAACTCCTCTGAGGTCTGTCATGTTTTATATCTCCTGGCAGCCTAGTTATTTGACAGTCATGCCGCTGTGCTAGGGGCAGCACGGGGTGCCTGGCTTCTTATTTGCTCACACTGCCACATGTGAGTTCTTTAAACCATGACACACACTCCGCACGTGCCTGGACCAAGTCCAAATTAATCTTACCCCATCCCTCTATTGACATAATTGGAACATGATCATTCTGTTGTCAACTAAAGAGCCTTATTTTTGTTTCCAAACAAGCATTGAACACCATTCAAATTTTGATTTGCAATCTACTAGAATCTTTCACTATTTCTCAATGCAAAGAGGTATTTGACTCAACTGAGAGAGTTGAGAAAATTGAGAGAATTGAACAAAACATCAATTTTGATGTTCAATGAAACAAAACAAAACAATCTGAGGTGCTTAGGTAGAAGAATATATATACACATATATATATCGAGACCAAAAGGAAAACATTAGCATATGTGGATATTCTGGCAGTGCTGTTGGCAAGTTTTTTTAAAAAAAAAGAAAAACAAGATTTGTTTTTTCATAAAACAACTAATGCAGCTTTGTGAAGGATAACCTTTCCATCTTAAACCATAATGCAACTATCCAACCCAGGATTCTAAGAGAACCAAAATAATTATAACTAATCCATTATTTGATATATAAAAAGGAATGTTACTTAAATTTCTTCTCCAAAGACTGCTTTCAGTGAAATGTCTTTTTATAAAAGTGCAGTAATATAATTTGAGAATGTTAAACATGGATTGTCATTGAGAATGGTGAGATGCTTTTGTGGCTCATTCCTCTCCCGCTCCTGCTCTGCCAATACAATACTGCACAAGCTTTCTGTCAAATGCGTAACTCCTGTGCCATCTAGTGTGTGCATCCTGGCTTTGCATCCAATATAGTTTGCAAAGCCATTGTACATTAAGCTTTTGAGAACTGAAGCTGCACCAATGACCTATAGCTTATGCCGATTTTTCTAATTTACCTTTTGGAGATTCAAAATTCACTAAGTTAGTAGAGTGTAATTTGGGGTAGTGTCACATATCAGAAGACACAATATTTACCCACAATGATGCCCTGGGAGTGAGTAAAAGAAACACCAGGCTGTACAGATCAGAAGATTAAAGGTGCAAAATCCTGGACTGTGCTGAATTAGCAAATCTCAGCTGCAGAGGCATTTTGGGTCAGTAAAATTCAGCAACTGGGTTAGGGAAGCAAAAGCTATCGCTAAATAGTGAAAGTGCATGTTCAGCTGGACATAGGGCTGAAAATTCATGTTGAGGTTCTGTGTAGCAACGCTGCTGTTGGCTTCAAATGGGATTTTCCCACATTACTCCCACATTGCCCAAGCCACGACACAGAATACCAATCAAGATTTCAGGCCTAGGGTAATAGTGGGTTCAGGCCGCGATGTTGTCAAATAGCCTGCCCACAATTATTGTCTGGGGCTCCCACATGAAGAGTGCTCACTTGGATGAGGTACCCAAGGGTGCTTGCACTTGACCTTCATGAGAAGAGGGTGAGAAAACCGACAACAAAACAATGATTTTTAAACAATTGGACCATTTGGTACACTCTTGGTGCTCAAAGGGTGAGGTGGATATTGTGTTTGTGTGTGAAACTGGTTGTATTGTGCTGTAAGGCTGTTCGGTCTGTCACTCAAGCAAGTGTTGTCTCAGTGTGTTTGATTTGTTGTATTAAATGTATAATGGATGTCTGTTTATGAATATAAAAGCAAATTATTGTTTAATCTAATTTGATATGTGGGGTCTTAAAAATGTTTATAAGTTAGTTTCATGAATTCCCAAGCATGATTTATTTAAGAATTCTTTCTAGCTCCGCCACCCCCCGTAGTCCCCCCTCTCCCATCCTTAAATTTAAGATGTTATCGACCTCTCTTTTTGCTCTCCAACCTCCCCCCACAAACCTGGGGTAGAGTTTTGTTAGGTCACTCCATGCATTGCTCCCCCAATTTACCATTCTTCAGGTGTTAATTTACACAGTAAATTCTGACAGGGAATTTGACCACTCTTCAATCTCAGACAAGCCTGAGCAGCTCTCAGCCTTAATGTGCATATTTTCAAGTGGGAGGATGGGAGGGGGGCACTGGACGGAGAAGGTCACTGCCCCACCTCTCACTTAGGAATGGTCATTGCCACTTAGAGGGCTGAGCTGAGAAGTGGGGAAATGTTGTGTATTTACTAATTGTTCAGATAGCTTTCAAAAGATGCTAAAACTTGTTTTGAAAACTTGTTTTGAAACCCCAATTTGTACACATAAAAAAATGCAGTACTACAGTTTAAGAAAACAGAGGCGAAAGTGTGCATGAGAATTAATTGGTGAAGCTGACAATCAAGAGTTTCAACACCAAATTATTTTGTTAATGTATAATATTGGAGGAAATTATACCAACAACAACAACAACTTGGATTTATATAGTGCCCTCGACGCCAGACGGCGTCTCAGAGCACTTTGCCCTGAAGAAAGGCAAATTGGAGGAGCAATGATCTCTCAAATAATACCAAGGGGCTACACATTATTTTTTTTAAAAAAAGCTATGAACTGGTGCATCTCAAATGCTCCTTTCTCACATGCTAAGATTTTTGTGCATTGAATTTTAACTTTGTTGTACGAGGGACTTGCAATGACATCCGCCAGGAAATTTCGCATTTATAAAAGACAACGGGATCGGAGTTGCACCAGTCATTAAATTTCCGATACTCAGTAAAGACAAGTTGGGGTTTCTTTGGCCCATCACTAAAATCAGTAATTAAAATTCTTTGAGTCATAAGAAGTATTCACTGCTCTCTCCCTAAATCCCATTCTAATAATGCCTCAGATCGTACTGCTACCACAAAATTGAGATGTGTAACTGTTAGCTCCTCAGATCGCATATTAGGATTGAAACTAAATGATAGGGCTAAGCTTGTGGTGTGGAAGTGACTCATGGGGGAGGGGGGGCGAAGAGAAAGATGATCAGCTGATCAAATACTTAACGTTAGGCAGACAAACAGCCATGGAGGTTCCAAAGAGCAACATGATCAAGATATCAAATAAAGAGGGAATAGAAAATAAACAATAATCCTTGCATTTGATATAGCACCGACTGTGTATTTGTATTTGCCCACAAAACACACAGTCCATCCGCTTTTCAGTATAATCTGTGAAGGGTTTTGATACATCTCACGACGTAATAAGGCGCTATATCAAATGCAAGGATTATTTTATTATTATTGTTGTAGGCCAATACAAGAAAGACTAAAATAAAAAGCTAAGAAATTGAAGAATTACAAAAAAACCTGATCAAAGATCAAATATCGTTTGCATGTCAGTTGAAAGATTACTTGTTTTTCATGAATTTATCTTAATAGTGTTGGCAGCCCTGGGTGTATTGCCGGTGTGTTTTAGGGTTAATCCCAATTCTGAGTAAGCGCTACATTCTTACCCTGAATTGTGCCTGTTAATTCCTTCATTTTCTCATGATGATGTTGCTTTGCCACCAGCCAGAGAACCTGCTGCTTGCCAGTAAATGTAAGAGTGCAGCGGTAAAGTTGGCAGATTTTGGACTGGCAATCGAAGTTCAAGGCGAGCAGCAGGCATGGTTTGGTAAGTCACTGAGGATTTTGTATGTTTTTCAAAAACAGATCAAATCAAATTGCAGCCCTCTGAGGTTTACAGAAGCATTGCTTTCGTATAATATCATACATCACTTATGTAGCTTATTAAATTAACATTGTATGCTGCCCATCTCTCTGGGGAAAGAAAATATGAACTAATTGTATTTCTTTGAATGCAAGGAAGTAACAACTTAAAATACGCATTGAAATCCCAAGTTGAAGCAATTATGAATACCTATGTTCTGAATAAGCAATGAGCTCACAATATGCCTCATATCCTGTCTGAATCATAGGTCACCAATACTGCAGACCTTGTCAGTCACAAGTATATCTTATCATCAATTAATATCCTCCTGCAACTTATTTAATGGGTTATTTAATCCTGGTCATTTTATGAACATTTGCGAGACAAGTTCAGTAGCTCTGTCACTGACCAATGTGATGAAAATGCTAGTGAGTCTTTATCTGGGTTCAAGAACTTATTAAAGTAGGTGACACGTATGTTTTGGAGGCTGTTATTGCAGCATTAAGTATCTTGGATATTACTGCTGGGAGAAAGGAACACTGGCACTGAGCATAAGAGCCAAGATTTCCCAGATTCAATTTGCCAGGACCTTTACAGTTAGCAGAGATGGCCGTCAGTCTGAACTGGATTGAGGTCCTGGCTGTGTTAGTCAACACATATGGAATCCTTCCAGCCAAACTGTAACCCCAGCCATCCAGTCAGTTCTCTGGTATGCAACGGAGTCATATCTAACAAGCGATATAGCTGAAATAACCATTTACAGCTGTTTAAGTAAATTACAAACATAAACCAGTGACCCTGGCAGCCGAGTGATTGAATAACCCACAGATCTTTCCTATTCAAGGTTCCAGTGTAGAGAAATAAATCTCTACTGCCAAAGGAAAAAAAAGGGAGAGAAGGTTTTATATTATACTTGAAAAGATTGAAGTAAGAAAATCACTTGATAATTTCCTTGTACAAAAGCAAATTAAATAATTGGATTTATGGATTATTGGACCCCCTTCACTGCAGAGTTAATCATTTCATGATGTTTTCAATTGATTTAAATATTAATACATTACTACATATTACATATAATACATATTATATGTAATTATATATATGTATTATACTACATATAATACATATTAATGTGGAGTCCTGTAGCTCAGTGGTTAGAGCACTCGCTTCGCAAGCGAGAGACCTGAGTTCAATTCCAGACAGGGCGAAACCTTGGGCAAGTTTCCTTACTCCACACGCCTAGTAATAATCCCTCCAAAACCCAAAACAATAATAAATTGGTCATTTTCAATCTACGACTGTTTGTGGGACATTGCTGTGCGCAATTGGCTGCCGCGTTCGCCCACAAATATACAGTCAATTCACTTTACAGTGTGTTCTGTGAAGCGCTTTGGGACGTCCTCCCGACGTGAAAAGCGCTATATCAAATGCAAGGATTATTATTATTATTATTATACAGAAATGGAGAACATTGACGCTAATTAAATGTAAATTTCAGAATGTTGAAGGTACACCAGAAGTTTAAGGCACATTTTAGGAAATTTGCTGCAATATTTCAGAAATGTCACCCAAGTTGCATTTCTTGACAGGTGAGGTTATGCGGTGGACGTTGGCAAGCTCTTGATCTGTGGAAGGCATCAGATCCAAGGCTAATCTGGCTCACACCATAACCTCTGATCATGCTCTTTTCAAACAGGGAAACTGGATAGCGATCAAGAGTGGGAACCCTGATTGATTTACCCCTTCTCGAAGCCAGGGCTGTGAAAGCCATTTCTAGTGCTCCAACTGAGATCAGTGAACCGTAGAAACTTACAGTACAGAAGAAGGGTATTCGGCCCATCGTGTCTGTGCTGCATCTTTAGAGAGCAATCTTTTCAGTCCCATTTATCTATCCTTTCCCCCATACGCCTGTAGTGAACTCCACATTAGGCCAGGAATCAAATCTGAAAGATTCTGGTCCGTTTGACTTAATACTGCACTAGGGGTTACCTTTACCTATCAGAAAGTCAGAGGAATCTTATAAGCGTGGACTTTTTTTTGTCACAACATCAGGAATAGAATTGCCCAATTCTACAGATTGTGAGAATCCAGCAAATTAATAAATTACTTTTTAGTTTTTGGAGGAGTCGGAAAACATTCCAGAAAACACTTGTGTGCTGAGTGGAGTGCAGCAATACCTCATGAACACACTAGTAAAAGCGTGCTCAAGGATAATGGTCAAATAAGGTGGCAATAGATGGATCTTGTTACGCAAATTAGCACAATATGTTAAATCCCCTAGAATTTACTCATTCAGCCATGGAGCTCGATCAATATGAACTGTATGGAAAAGGTCTGGACTTTTCCTATTGCCTTAGCTGAAGAAAGGGAAAAATATTGATACACTTACTACCATCTCTGTTGAGAGATTAAACCTGCCCTTGTGATTAACATGACTAAACATGCCCATTATTAAGATGCCCATTTCTCTCATAACCAGTGGGGTGTAAGTTAAAAGTGAAGCAATGCTTTGAATTTTGCTGGCAGTACCTGCCAAAACTCCCCAGATGATGTTCGCCTTTAACTGATCACAGCATGCTCTAGCATTGTGGTGTACCTGTCAATATGCTGACAGCAACTGGTAATAGGTGAAATCTCTCCAACAGCTGAACTAAATAACCAGATTTATCCCACACCTGAACTCACAACCACCTACCTGCCTTAAGCAAATGCAGTGGTTCAAAGGGAGTGAAACATAGCTGCACCTTACTCACATAGATACAGTCTTTCCTCCTCAACCACCAGAAGGTCATATGCACAGGGTTCTAACTGCAGTTAGAACCCTCTCTTTACATCTCCTGGATGGGAGTTCAAATGCAGCCCAGCCAGAGCAGATGCAAGTGCCCAATCACTGCACCAGTTATGCAGCAGAACAAAGACATTAACTTTTAGGTTGACACACAATCTCACCACCAGTTTATCTTTCTGCTCCCTGATCCAAAAGAAACAGAGAAAAGAAAGCCAGCAAATAGCACGTTAAAATTAAATGTAATCCAATACTTCAGAGCTGAGCTGTCAACAGTAGGTCTTTATAAAGTGACCAGCAAGCAGATACAATAGAGATTGAATCACAAAAATCATAGCACAAGAGGCCATGAAACTGGGCGCTATGAGGAGTGAGTTCTTACACTGGAACGGCAATTTGATGTTTGGCTCAAATTATATCTATCTCAGAATAATTCTAATCTGGTGTCATTTGCATACGTTTGCACTACCTTTTTCTCTCAAAAATGCTATTGGCCTTGACCTTTACAGTCAACAATATCATAACTTACCTAGTATCTTGTTAGGGGGCAGTTCATAGTCATTGGTGGTTGCAGCAGAAATTCACCTGTTTCCCAGCACCAAACTACTCTGCTACATTTAACAACTCTTGTCTATTCAACTGAGCTTTTGAAAAGCACCCAAGTGCACAAGATCAATTGGGCAGGTCCACACAGTGGACAATTCCCATTAACCACAGTGAATAGGATGTTCAGCTATAACACCAAATGAGTTCAATTCAAATTCCCGGAAGCTGCAGAGTACTCTGTTCACCTGGAGTACTGCACACTTCTGAGGTGTCGTCCGTGGCTTTGAAGTAGAGGAGAGAAACGAGGCTCATCTCCAGGGTTACAAGAACTGGTAAATAATGTGGAGGCATGAAGGATATAATAGATAATATACCATACCAGTTCATGAGGCTGCCATTGACATTCAAGCTCTCGTCAGCCTTTACCTTAAGCATGAACTTTGATCACATTGAATTAATCCCCAGGATTCTTGTTTATGTATTAGATGTCATGCCCTCTGGTTTATATATAGTCATTGCTTTACATATCCCTGCCTTTGCTGCCTGTCAACAGAGCAATATACAGAAGATAACAATCTGCAATTAACACCTATATTAGCAATGATAATAAGTAAAAGGAAAGCACATTACAGACTATAATAAAAGTGAAATATCGTAGACAGGATTATCTTAGCTGCAGATAAAAAAAAACACATATCTGGGATAGGCTTCATCTTGGGACTAATTTGGAAATGGTGTAGTCTAAATACCGCTGAGTTAGCTCTGTGCTCTACCCAGTCTGGGCTAATCTGGGCGAATAAACCCAGATTAAAGACCCAAGTACATATAAATATGAAATCACAAATTCCCTGCCATTTTCCTTCACTTCAATACATTCATCTCTAAAGGTATTTGATTAATATTTAACAATCCCATAACAGCTTGGTGGCAACTATATTACAATTATTACTCCTGTCTTGACAAACCAATGAAGCTTTACACATATATCATTCAATGGCACTGTAGACGCTGTAGGTGATGAATAGCTTTAAAGTACTTACAAGGTAGCCAAGCTCCTTATGAATTCTATACTCTAGAATTCCATCCCAGAGTCCCTCCAGCTCTTGCCCTCCCCTTGTTCAAGGCACGTCTCAGGACACAAATCTTTGACCATGCTTTCGGTCATCTTTCCACTCCCCACCCAGCTCGGGTATCTATCTATCAGTGTTAAACCCTTTGAGATGTCTTCCCAATGTGAAAGGCACTGGGTAATTTTTTTGTGTCTACCACATGCAGAAGTCCTATTACCATGCTTAAGAGCATCGATACTCTTAAGCACGGTGATGGTTTTCCACATGTATCAGACACATAGCTGACCAAAAAAAAAAGTAAAAATGTAAACCTTCTTCTGACTTTCATGAATCAATGTCTTTATCTATTCCAGCCACCACTTTTAAGATTGATCCCCTGTAACTCCAGCTTGTATATACAGTTATTTCTTATTTTCTCAAAGTCTTGCTGTACCAGGTTGGAGCCCTAATCCCTGTTTCAGAAACCTACAGGATTTTTTTTTGATTTCCAAATAATAATAATGATAATAACAATAATCCCTTCATTTGATGTAGCACTTTTCAAGTCAGGAGGACATCTTAGTAAAGTGTTCTAAGACGTTAAACCTATGTGAAGATCAAGAGTGTTACATGAAAAGAAGTTAATGCTGTTGTGTTAAAGCACTTCACAGGATTTACTGTGATTTGGAGAAAATGTGTATTTTGTGGCTAACACAGCCACAAAGCATTGTCCCACAGACATAAATTCCTCACAATATATCTCTCAGTAGAGTATAAGAGCTTTCCTTAATCATAATTACCCTCAGATAATTTTCAAATGGCACAAATATTTTTGTTTTACTTTTTCTTTGCATGAGAGGGGATAAACTTACTACCATTCAGATGATATATAATAGTACTTCTGCTACAATCTTGTAATGCCTGCAGAAAGATGAAAGTATGGAAGAAAGCATCTTTGTGGAAGACTGTTTCAGTAATATTTCCATCCCCCCCTCCTACAACCCCAGGGTTTGCAGGCACTCCAGGATACCTCTCCCCAGAGGTTTTAAGAAAAGATCCATATGGAAAGCCAGTTGACATCTGGGCATGTGGTGAGTAGAAAAGTTAAACTCATTGGAATTAATCTTTGGGGCTTAAGATAATGAAAATCCAAAGAGAAAATGTTGAAAACACTGAGTTGTGGATTGCAAAAAAACAGATGTTTAATAAGTTGGCTTTAATAGCATCCCTCCGGAAGGTTATCAATTTAAAAAAGTTTCAAACTTTAGTTTATCTGCAATTGGAAAAAGAGAAGGCTATTCAGATTATTAAACCTGGCCCACCAGTTTTTTAGATCTTGATAAGTCTTTCAATACCATTTCACTGCCCTTTACCCCTATCCCTTAATACCTTTCAGTAAATGCTCGGATCTCTCTTCTAACTTTCCTAGCTCTAATCTGAAGGGTGCAAGTTCAAATCATAATCTCTGTTAATGACAGTGCAGTCAATTACCCTTGTTGACTTAGTACTGCCAGTTCTTGGCTGAGCCATGGGGGCAGAGAATTGTGTGTTGTAACCATACAGATGTCTACGGCCCAGTCTGCTCTGTGACCCAAACAAAGAGAGAGTGCAGCAGGAGAGGCTACAGAGGTGGGAGTAACATAATGTAATATCAATTAAAATCAAGTTAAAGCAACTGTTACACTGTTAAAGCAAGAGATAGAAATTGGAAGGGAGGGGAATCTCTGGTCAATGAAGTCAAGAAGTCGATTTAATTTAATATATCTGGTGGTCAGGATTACAGGAGTCAGGAAGATCAACCCATTCACTGGAGTATTGTGCCCTACCTGCCTACATATGAAATAATTACCAGCCCCGACTAGATGGCTTGACAGCGTCTGCTAGTCTAACCACAAAACACAAACTTTGTTAAATCTTGAGTCTGTGGAGGAAGGGGAAGAGGAGAGAGCTGGCATTGTGAGCATGTTATTTTCTGTGTTCATAATGTTTTCACTCTGTGTCTAATTGAATTTTATTCACTTGTTTTAGGTGTAATTCTTTACATATTATTAGTGGGTTACCCTCCCTTCTGGGATGAAGACCAGCATAAGCTTTATCAACAAATCAAGGCTGGCGCATATGATGTAAGTGTACTGAGGGCCTCCTATTGTTCTTATTCTCTTGTGAAACCACACCCTTTTGTGGTTAAATTGCGTCTTTTATTGTTTTGCCTTTATAATGGGATCCAGCTTTCTTTTGGAATCTGTGGAGAAGTACTGTATCTCCGTGCTTGTTATGTGTCAACAAAACCTAAAGATATTCTGAAGCGTGGAATACTTCTAGGTCCATCCCAGGGCAGTCAGAAGGCTTGCTGTCACTCAAAGGTGTCAAGACTTCCCACGACTGTTATTCCAGTCAACCTCATTTGTGCAGTAGTTACTATACCGCACTCCTGTAGTCAAAGTGTGTACTGTTAATCTATTCACATTGCAAATCTTTGGTTCTAACTTGTTATTTTTTGATGAATGTTATTGTTACCGCTCAGCCAAAACACAGCTTCTCACTTTATCAACAAGAAAGTGCAATCTTTATACTGTTGCAAAATTCATTAAATATAAAAGTTAAAAACGAAAACATTCCACTTTAGGACAGAAAAAAAGTTTCTAAGAGTACCTGGGGGCTGTAGCCATGCAACAGATGCTGAACAGATGGAATTATTTTATCTGTTTTTAATGACAGCTTCTTATGAACACTAGTGACACCATATATCTAAAATGTAACATTTATTACAGTATAAGCTATTTTGAATCAAATGTCAAGTTTATGAATGATTATTATATGACTTCAGGATCATCCTACTTACTCCTCAACTACCAATCCCTTCACACCACTACTACCTCTGTATCCTTCTCCAGCCTCACCTCTCCTGCTCGCCCTCTCTGCTCAGTAAACTCCGAGGCATTAGACTATGTGAAGGCCACTCTATAAATTCTAGTTGTTGTAACCACACATTATAACAGTTCTATAATGGTTCACCCAGCACTGCTGCACATCTGTCTCCAGATGTCATTCAAGATGTTTTTACTGAGGAAAAACAATGAGGGGGGGGGGAAAGTTATGATGTCAGAACAAAAACTACTTACACTGTTTTTGTAACACATTGCAGCCAGTAATCTGAAGTGAACAAGTGTGTTGTACAGGATTTTCTTTGTACTATCAGTAAATGCACAATTTATAAGTGAGCTGTTCAACGTTCTTTTTCTTCTCACAACTTTCATTCCTCAATGACATTTGGCCAAATAATGTTCTCTGAACAGTTTTTGTTTCACTCGTAGATCAATCCTGAAACACAATCTGATGCTACATTATATAATACATAAAACACCCAGGGAGGGATGCAAAGCACTAATTGTTAGCCTGAAGTTTTATTTCATCCCACAACCCCAGGAAACTGGCAAACAAGACAAGGTGTGCAGTGAGCTGCAGACATGAGAGATTTTACACAAAAACAGTATATTCTATCCTTTTGGCTACAGCAATTTGCGAGCCTTGAGTTTGCACCAGCACATGAAGAGACTGTTTTCATTTACATTCCATTTCTGTGTTAGTTTCCATCTCCAGAATGGGACACGGTCACCCCAGAGGCCAAAAATCTGATCAATCAGATGCTGACCATCAATCCAGCCAAGAGGATAACAGCACCTGAGGCTCTGAAGCACCCATGGGTCTGCGTGAGTATCAATCCCAACTGTATAATAAACGTGCCTTTATGTTAAAAAAGTCAATGCAATCTTTAATTCATTCAACATTTAGTTGCCTTATTTTTTGATTTGTTCCCAGATTATACTATGTATATGGCATCTGTATTTTGAAGCTCTGCCCAACCAAAACTTTCCATTGTAAAGTAGCTTTCATAGCAAAAGCAAATGTTAATAGTTTAAAGACTTCAAGTTAGATGTACAATACTGCAGACAGACACACTATAGTTCGATTATTTTTTATAAATGGCGATCAATTCATTTCGCTGACTGTTTCCTGCAAGGAAAAGCCTGGACAGTCAAAGATGATTTTAACTTGTAATTCACCCCGACAGTGTGTTAATTGTGTGCTTGTATCACATGCTGCACTGAAAACTACTGAACCTTACTTTACACTTTGCAGCAACGTTCTACTGTAGCATCAATGATGCATCGTCAAGAAACTGTGGAATGTTTGAGGAAGTTCAACGCAAGAAGAAAGCTCAAGGTAAGCTTGTTTCCTGAGTGCTCAGAGGTATTAGAGAGGAATACCCCTGTCAGCTCATGTACATGACTGACAAATCAGTCAGTCAAGTCAGTCAGAGCTATAATAATAAATAATAATAATCCTTGCATTTGATACATTGTTTTTCACATCTTCTGGACGTCTCAAAGCGCTTCACAGAATAGACGGTAAAGTGAATTGACTGTATATTTGTGGGCAAAATGCAGCAGACAATTGTGCACAGCAGTGTCCCACAAACAGTCGTGGATTGAAATAACCAATTTATTATTGTTTTTTTGAGGGATTATTATCAGGCGTGTTGAGTAAGGAAACTTGCCCAAAGTTTCACCCTGCCAGGAATCGAACCCAGGTCTCGCGCTTGCAAAGAGAGTGCTCTAACCACTGAGCTACAGGACTCCACAATGTAGTGATGGCTGAGCTGAAATTATGAAATGTGGGGAAACTGATTAAATCATTAATTATACACAATTGAATCTTTGAGCCAAACAAAGCAAGATAAATGAGAATAGAGATTCCAGAATTAATGGCTTTATACTGAGTTGAAAAGGTCAATTTGAACTTACTTTTCATATTTGTAGAATTAAACTGTTCAGAGAGCTCCAGTGCTTTAAGGCATCTCTTGAAACACAGTCTCTTTTGACAGCTCTAGGTTAATAAGTAACTTTTAAGAAGTGAGTTGTGAATAATGATGAATAATAAATTGGTTGAGTTTCATTTGTTCTGGTTAAGAGCCAAATCTTTTTTCTTTGCTGTCAAACCCTGACAGATTCCTTACCCACATTAACAAGTGCAACTTATTATGCGACATCCAGGGATCATGCGTCAAAGACTCACTAACCAATTTTTTTCTGATTCAGGGGGCAATTCTCACTACAATGTTAGCTACAAGAAACTTTTCAGGTAGGTCTGCATAAATCAATAGTTTTGAAGCAGGTTTCTTTTATGTACCACCTGCTGTATAAAAGTAGCTTTAATGTATATATGAATAAATCAACTACACATGGAAGTAGTAACTACCACCAAGAGAGTAAGAATAATTTACACAATGTCCTCAGTACAAAAGGTTCTCTGTTCTTAAGAAATGCTTATGTGTTAATTGTTGAGGTGCATTAATTGCATCATAAAACCACATTTCTTTCTCCAAGTTTCACTAATAACAAACTGTTTTCAAATAATCAAATGTTTTAAAAATTGCAGGTAAGTATACAACATAAATGCCTTGGTTTCATTGAGAAGTTGTGTTTGATTTGATAGCATTTGTCTCCACACAGTGCCAAATACTTTCTGAATGCCACAGTAAAGTGTATGAGAACCTGTGAAAAGAAGCAGCGACTCTCAACAGCAGATACACCCAAAGCAAATAGCATGTTAGATTTCACACAATACGGTGAAAGGGAAACTCTTCTTAGAACTGAGGACGTGTAAACCTCTCAAAGCCTGTTGAAACTTCAGTATCTCAGTAATGAACCAGTATGTTTTCTAATTAGAAAGCAGGGTGATGGCTATGAACACTTCGAGTTACTTAAAACTGGTATGTTAAGCTGCCAGGATACTCACCTCATAAGGTCACATTAGATTCATGTTGTGCAAGGGCGGTGCACAGCCTCTTCAGCAGAGACAGCTATGTATTACCTTGTACTGCAGTCTCCGATGATTTCTCCCCATTTACACTGTGGAGTTAATTTGGTGGAACAGAAGAGCTGCATATTTCTGAACTCTCATGTGCAGGGCTGGCTCAACTCAAATTTGGATCTTAGTTTTCTAGGTACCTTGTATGGACCAGATGAAGTCTTTACAGGCCAATGGTGTGAGATTACAGCACTGATCTGTAGAGTAAAATGGCTATAAGTTCAGTCAAGAGGCAGCAGGATGGATCATTTTAAGCTTGGTGCTCTCAGAGACATAGCGAAAACTACCCCCTCGGGTGGGCTTCTGTGCCTCTGGAGAGACTGACGAGCGTCCTGTTTATTTTGCAAGTCTGCCATTGAAGGCAGAGCTGCAAATCAGCAACACTGCAATGTTAATGCAGCATTAGTGATGTTACATTAAAGGAGCACCGTTTTCATGAAGGTGTGTTTTGCAAACCTTTCTGCTGTGTGTTTTTTCCTGGGAGGGAGGGGTAGAGGGAGATGCAGAGAAGCTCTCCCTCATGGTGCACTAGTGAGTTTTAACGCTATTTATATCACTTCCCATGCTTAAAATCAAATCAAAAATGAAGTATTTTAACCACAGTCTACATGAAGATGATATCCTTTCAAAGACAAAGGTCACTGTTGCTGATAAAAACACTGCAGCCCAAAGAGCATTCACATCTGAAGGCAGTTTCTTCTGGTATTCTGGTTGAAAGAAGAACACGTCACCTTACAGCAGAGAGGAAGCATTAACCCTGCTAATTTGTGTCGACTTTACCCAAAACAGATGATGCTGAGAGGAGAATTGCTCTGTAGCAGATATCTAGTTACATTGCTGCCAGGAGCTTCTCCTCTTTGATTCAGTTCCTGCAGTGAATAACTGATGCTGTTAGATGTGCATTTCATTGATTAATATCACTCAAGAGCATACATACATCTTAACCTCTCAAGAACATCCATTTTAACATGTGATTTTGCCTTAGGCATTTCCTTATGTGGAATGTATTTTTTTTTAAAAAGTGAAATGTTGCAGGATGGATGTGATTTAGCAGGTGGTCAGTCGAAAAAGAGCACCGGGGCTTTGCTGTTCCTCTTTTTATCTTTGGGCCTTTGCGGCTCCTGTCACTAAATACTTCCCTTCCAATAGTTGGCAGGCAGTCCACTGCTCCAGCTGCGGCGGCTTCAGCTGCTGCTGGTTTGGCTGAGCAAGGTATGTGGTGTCAAAAGGCACCGTCAAAAGCAGCATGTACACTGAGCACTTCACCTAACTTGGAATGACCTTTCATCCAGACCATCCTCCATCACTGCTTAAATACAGCTTCCTCTTCCCAAAGGAACACATGAAACACACGTGTGCATCAATATTAATAGATATCGACTGCTGCACCCACCAACCTTCGGCAAAACAAATTCAGTCATTTTTCTCTTCCCCACTCCAAGCAGAGGAGAAATTTGTTAATTGTTTAACTATTCGGAGTTTGCACTAACACTAATATGTGAAAATCTATTCCTGCACAGGACAGAATGCTCACTATACAAAACACAGGCAGTGCTTGCGACAAAACAGGGAGTACATTTCTGCTTCTAATTCAATACAAATTTACATTTATACAGTGCCTTTTAAGACAATCCCATGACACTTAACAATAATGGCTTAGGGCTCGAGCCTGGGGTGGGAGCTGAGTGGGGTGGAGAAAGATGACCGAAAACGTGGTCAAAGAGCGTCAAAGAATCTTAATGCTATCAATGAAAGTCAAAAGGCTATATTTATTACAAAACAAGTACATTGCAATAACAATTTCAGAAAGTTAAATAAAAAAGAAAGACCAGTTGTATTATATAAAGTAACTCATAAAATCTAAATCAATACACTTCAAACTCAAAATCTCATCATAAATACTTTCAAACATTTTTATGGGCTTCCACAATGCTTATAATTTCCCACCAGAATACAGAAAGCACTCTTTTGGTTACTGTCGCTCTTTCCAATCATAAAACGGGCATATCGATATGTTTTACACACATCTACACATTTTATACATAAACTGCAGAGAATGGCAGACAGGCTACATTGCTCTGCAGAGATTCTGTGCACTCCAGTGGTCAGTGAAAGATAACTATATGGAAGAACCTAGAGGAAGGGATTGTAAATGGATGAAGAGCACTTCAAAGTATTCTTTAACGGATCATTACTGCAAGCTTCAAGAAGTAAACTGTAAACAAAGAGCAGATTGCTTGAGACCTGAGGAAGGTAGGAGCCACAAGGCTGTGGAATATTTTAGGAGGTCGCTATCTGCTCACAATCATTATCATTCTCCTTTACATAGTGTACGTGTACGAGAAGCTTCAGTGACTCCTACTCAAACTGAGTACCAAGCGTGTTTTGTGAAAGTGGCCTCTTACTACCTGTACTACTACCTATAGGTGTATTTCACCTTAATGTGAGAAATACATTATATTATACATGGTATGATATGGCCTTTCTTTCTGGGAACGTGAAGGAAGAGAAGAGTTCTCATGTACTCTTCGCTCTGAAAGACTATGTTGCAACAACCCGCAAAATCTGAAATACTTCAAGTGAAGATCTTTTTTTAATTTGCCACATGCACTGAATCCTGCACTGACTTCATCTCATTCAACTAGTGCTTCCACTCACCTCTGCGTGCTCAAGCTCAAGCTGCATGAGGATTGATTGCCTGCCTAACACCTCTCAGAATTTAGTCAGCTCTCCTCTACAGAACACAGATGTACCATGTATGCCAGCACAGCGGCTGCAATTCATACCCATGTTGGGACATTTCACTCATGGAATCCACTCCATTTCTGGGTTACGGAATGTATAATGTAATGCAGGACACGCTGAGCATGTGTACTCCTCAATGCCCTCTTCCTCATGCCATCTCCCAACAATTGACACAATGCACATGCATTTGGAATGGAATGATGCTTGATTACATTGAGAAATAAACCGTGCAATACTAAAGAATACAACTCAACCATCATTCTTTTTCCTCTATATTTCTTTCCTTTTTTCACTGTGTAATACACCAAGGTAAGAGCCATACAGTAACTTCCGTTACCTGACCGCGTGTGTTTGAGCTCCCAATTCAGTTTGCAGTTTGCTTTAACAGTGACTAGCTTCCTTGTTCTATTAACACATTCTGCAACTCAAAAGAATATTTCTTCCCCGCTAATCAAATTTGTCAGGACTGAAATTTAACTTCACAAAATTGAATCCATGCAGGATGAACATTTACATTTCGTTGTGTCTGTTTTTACAGCAGCAAAGAACTTGCTGAACAAGAAAACCGACGGAGTCAAGGTAAGTTTGCGAAAAGACTATCAGTATTGTATATAATTGTGTTGCAGGTGAAGAATAAAAGACAAAATACTGTTATGCTTTAATTTATTTCTCAGAGTAAGGTATAGGTACAAGCATTAAAATGAATAAAATTTATTTCTTCCCTGTGTAATCTCTGGTACTGTTCCTCTTGCAATAGAGTGCGAATTATTGAGTTTCAAGATGACCTGTAACTCTAGTGTCTCAGCCTGATTTAGCTGTTCCTGTGGAATTTGGGAGCTGCTTATGCACGCTCACTCACAGATCAGCCTTGTGTTTACCAGCCAGCCAGCGAACCTTCATTTTTTTCCCCAGTTAAATCTGACCAAGTGAAAAAGGGAATACCTCATCAGGACATTATGACTTTTCCCTTTAATTCATAATTCACCTATAGGACGGTTGATAATTCCAGGATTACAGATTTATATGGTGCCTTGCACACAGCAGTTCATAATTGTGATATTTTGTCAACCAGAATGTTGATAAGGATTTTTTCCAAATGGTTGATCTATAGGGTGAGCATATACAAATAAGACATTTTCAATGCAGCGATGTGTACAACATACAGAAGGATCTTAAACATCTTGTTTCAAGACAGCTCACCCACTCTATTTCAATGACCTTTAATAGGAGCTCATATTGTAATTATGCTTAGCAATTTCGGAATCAGTCATAAGTTAAGAAGGATGATGGCACAGAAGACAGTTTGGATAATTGTACATCCTTTTTTGCAAATATAATTGGGACTTTGAAATCATGCCACTGAATCAACGATGTAGATTACGTGCCACAGAAGCAAAAATATCTCTGGATTATTTTATAAATAAGATGAATTGATAGGATATCCGCCATTAATTCAAAAACCTTAGAGGGACAAACTGTAGCTCAAGCAGTTGAGTTCTGGACTGCCAGCCTCGAAGCTCATGAGTTAAACTTGCCTGTTAGTCAGAGCCGAAGTGTCACGCACATGAAGCACTTTCAGGCAGTCTGACATGTAAGGCAATGTATCAAACGCAAGTATTACTTTTTAATTCCAGTATGCATTCACAGTTTTTGTTCAGGCAGCTAGATACAACAGCAACAACACAAAATTACATTTATAGAGCGCCTTTCACATCGGGAGGACGTCCCAAGGTGCTGGAATCATACGTATGTGGAGCATATGTGCCCATGAGGGTGGGGATGGGAGTTGATCGGGTGGAGAGAAAAAAGTTCAGAATCATCAGCTTCTTGGATGATTTTTTTCCAACTGATCAGTCAGAGTTGTGTTGCTAAGTACCTTGATGATGTACTGAATGTACAATCCAGAATATTCAAGTCTCCCCCTGAAGGTAAAGTTATGTTGAGTGACTCATCATTCAGAATGAAAACCTTTACAAAAGACCACGTTAACACAGTATTGTGTAAGTGTCTCAATCATAATACAATATTTCCATTCAGAGATAAAAAGAAAAACTTTGACAGCCTTTGGTAGATGTCAGATGGGTGAGAGTCATTTGTAGATTGTTTCCAAAATATGTGAAACTTTCTTTAAAAAAACAATCAATTGTAAGTTTATTGTAATTCAGATTCTACCCTTGAATTAAACATGGACACAATTCAGTTTGTAAGAAAAATGTAACTCTTGGGGTTTATATTTGCAGGATGTATACCAATCATCGTTGACCTGTATAATAAAATAATTAATTTAATAATGTACTAATTTTGAATGATTGCCAATAGAGTGACAGAGAATTAATACTAGAGTTTAATATTAATAGTATTAGCTCTGATTTGGATTGTACCAAATACGTTCTGTGTTGTCAGGAAAATAATGCAGGGATGTCTAGGTTTCTTATTACATACTCCTGACAAATGGAACACTCAATCCTGCCAATTGATTCATTTTATCTCAGAAATGCACCCTGCTATTTTGTGCTATGTAGCCATGTCAACCACAACAACCAGACTTTCATTTTGCTTATTTTCAATGAAGCAGAGTTGGTTATGATGGGCTGCAGGGTCTTTCTATTTAAATGGTTACAAAGGACGCTTAGCAGATTTGCTGTATGCACTCCTTCCACAACTAGAACTTGCTTGCCCACCATTTGCTCCAGTCACAAGAGAGGGCAACAACTATGCAGACTGCTCTGGAAGTAACCTCTTGGTAATAAAGCAGAATCACTCCAGTATTCAAAGTAGAAATGCTAGAGAACTGCTCTTCCTACATTGCAGGAATTCATTTGGAGGCAAACACAGGAATCTCTTTCATGTTTTACTCTCAGACAGGAAGACTCATCGATCTGGCAGGACTTGAGCTTGGGTGTGCTGCTTTGTTTTTCTCTGATCAATATAGCGTGCACACTTGACTGGGAGCCTTTCGACTATATGGCTGATTGGACACTTTCGTTCACAGCAGTGAAGATGAGGAGCAGTGGTTAGCATTACAGTCACTGTGCTGCGCACTCCTCTTACTTTCTCTGCACTGTTAGCAACCTCTGATGGTTGCACCCAAGCACTTCATTCATGCATGTCTTGTTTGAAATTTCTCCCAGCGTGTATGAGTGGTTTATCAATTCCGGAAAGCATGAAGCCCATGCCTAGCATGCAAGAGGTCATTTTAACTGAATCCTGGAGAAACCTGGGGGGAAGCAACTTCAACCCTTCAACCAACTCCCCACTGCACAAATGACAGCTAACCATGCTTAGCACACTCCTGTTGCCTTTCTTTGTGTGATCATTAAGGTAGAAGAGAGACCAAGCATTTATCAGCTGACGCCAGCACTAGTGCTCCTTGTTCAAACGTAAGGCACATCAGATGTTAACCTAGTTGTGCTTTTATTTTCCCATAAAAACAGGTATGTTGTAGAAGGTATTTTTCCATTCTCCCCATCTTTAGATGAAGTTGTTGAACATTCAAGGACAGTTCTTTGTTCCAAATTAGTTTAATAATAGCTACATTCTTTTGATTTAGAATCTCTAACAGCCAAGAGCAAGAGACAGAGAAAAGTCATCAAACCCTCCATCCGAGGTGGATGTAAACATGTTTTAGGAATTGCTCAGGCAAATCAATTACACAGGTGTGAAACAACAAGTGTTTTGTTACCAGCCAACTAATTTGCTGCTCCTTGATCTATTTTACCATTTATCCCAGTCAGTGCCCCTCCAAACAGCCTTCATCAGCCTCGGGGAGTAAAGGCCTCTCCGCTATCTCTCAATTCTAACAGATATAATTCTGTAGCAAGGTCCTCTCTTGGGCTGGCCATCTATCTCTTTCCACAGCAGGGGGCTGCACTTTCCAAGCTTACAACTCTGAAGGTATTGACATAAGCATAATGCAAACAAAAAAGGAACTTAATTAAGTTTCTCATTAATAATGATTGGTGAAGGATGGCTAGGAGGAGTTCTAGCACTGAGCTCATTTCAGACAGACATCTCTGCAGGTGAAGAAGAGAATCGTCAAAAAGATAGAATTGATTAACTTCTTATTCCAGTTCATGGGCCTTTAAAACATAATTATTTTCCATTATATTATGGATTTAATGGATTAATTCCTGAAGCAATCTGTCCTCACAACCTGCTGTGCAGAATACATTTGATGAATGACCATCAATGGGCAAAAAGACAAAGTATAAGAAAAACAGGAGATACATTCATGCCTTTGGATAAGATTGTATCAACAAACATTTCACCATATGTCTGTGAAATTAGTTTGATGTTTCCTAGATGTGTTAATTTGTAAACACAGGTAGCTAAGAAACATGTCATTTTACTGAGCCAGGTAGATTAGAAGCTTAACCTTTCTGTATATGTTGGTCCTAAAATGTAGTTGTAATCCATCTGTCCCTCCACAACAATCTGTGTGCTTTTCATATCTAACCAGTGGAAATTTCTTGTTCTCTTCCTTCTCTTTTATTGAACTGTTCAGAAAAGGAAGTCCAGTTCCAGTGTTCATTTAATGGTGAGGATCTTTTGCAACTTAAAAATTTTCACCTCATCTCCGACGGGATCACAGAGCACATACCATCCCGATCATCCCATCCAGTGGTATCACTGGGGCAAATTAAGAGTGCTTGTGCCTTTTTGTTTGTTGTCGTACTGTTCCTTTCTCATGTTGTCCTATGTTCTCTTAGCTCATGTTATCCATTTATAGGAGCATAAAAGCACTAGTTTTGAAATTGTACTGACTCTTCTATCATCATCGTTTTTCATGTTATATAAAAAAACTCTGCCTTACTAAGAGTATATCAGGGACCAGCAAGCAAGCAGATGTAATCCTTTGAAGACTGCAGGAGCACCTTTACATCAAAGTATAATGTTTGTATTTGTTTGACAAGATTTATTCCAGTGGCAATTAGCACTTATCAGTGAATTAACACAAACAGAAATATTATTCTGCAACTCAAAGCATATTTCTTCTTTGTTTTGAAAGTTTCTTTACGAGTATGCTTGAATCCTGATAAACACACCTTGTCAAGAAATAGTATACTTTCATCAGGTTACAATAAATTGCATTTAGAAACAATGTGAACATTTCTGTGCCACAACCGATTTGTATTCAATTGTTCAATAGATTAAACCAAATTTAACAGAAAAAGCCTTGAGAACAAATCTACCAGTCGAAGTTGATTATGCGTCTACGCTGGACTGTTTTCCCTCAGTCAAACAGGTTCATATAGCAAATGGGCATTGAACAATAAAAATACCATATGAAGAGGATTAATGATTTGGAACATTTTCCCTATGGGAGGTGGAATTCCACTCAATCCAGACTGATGGGGCCACAACTCTCTGATTCTGAATGAGTCAGTTTCTAGTAGTTCTTGAGTACATACCACAGCAGTGCCCATCTGCATTAGTTGGATTAATAGAGGCCAAAATGACTGGTGCCATGGGAAATGGAATTTTCACCATTGTAGAGTCAGGATTTTCTTCTGATATTTGGTGTAAAGGCACATTGTTTAGGCAGAGCTCAGGGAACTGACCCTGTGCAATATCATGTCATTTACCAGTCCTGCAGTGCTTACTGTTGATACTGGGTACAAAAACTGAGAGAAAACAAACAAATTCTCCAACAAGAATATCTCTCACCTTAATTTATACAACAACTCACCAAGCAATGTAAATGGAAAAGTGGAAGGATGTGTGGAGACCATTTAATGCCATAATATTAAACGGGTAGTGTAATTATTTGGGACATTAAAATCCAAGGGTGTACTTATCTGGTATTGAATGTATTGATTCACTGACAAGTATAACCATTGGTATAAACATTGCAGCATTTTATTTTACTTTGTGAATTTGGTGCATTTTGATTTTGTTTATTTTGTTATTGATTGGGAATTGGAGGCTAGCACTTGCTAGAAAACTGTGAACATTTTGAAAGCTTCAGAGGACATAGAGCACTCAAAGGATTAACAAAGATATAGGGGAGGTGCAGTGTTAATAGCTGAACCCCAATACTGTTAACCACAAGAAGGGATCTGTGTAGTATCAACCAAGGTGTCAAACCTCCAATTTGCCTAGAATTAAAGATGGTGGTAGAAAACGTCAGTCTTTTTATTAACATCACAGACATTTTCTTAACAGTTTCAACAACGTATTCTCATCTGAAAATCTTTCACCTAAAATTCATACACTTGAAACTGTTTAACACATCTTGCACTTGCATTTTATGGTGCAGTTTGGTGTTTATGACTCACAACATTTGACTGCAAGTGCAGAAAAATCACTGACATCCTCCTAGGAACTAACCCACTGACACTAACCTCTCTTGCCATGTATCTGATTGTTAGCCTGTAATAAACCTTTGTGTGTTCACAGTCAAAAGCTCTGTGTTACCATGTCTCAGCACTGTTTGTCTTGCAATTGTAATTCAATACAACCAAAGGTAGCTTTAAAGTTAGGTGTTTGTAATATGATTTACTTCAGAGAAGCACTGAAGATTACTTTGAATGGAAAAGGTATCACTAAAGGGTGTACAAAATGTCCGCACTGGAAGTAAATTGCGATTTCCTCTATTCTGTTGCAGTGAATGAGGTAGTTAATTAAATATGATGTTTTTAGCACAGTATATAACTCTCCATAAACTCTTAGCAATTTGGCAGTGCCAATCATCCTAACATCCACCGGGAAAGACACTAAATTTCTCTTGTAAATTACTCTGGTGATGTATAAAGGGAAAAGCCCTTCATATGCTTACTCCCGTCACAAACATTACACTTTGTGGCAAGAGGAATTTTTGCTAGTTTTACAGTCCCTCCTGTACTGTGTTCTTCAGTGTCTATGTTACGGTTTGAAATACAGGTAAGTAATCCGATAAGAAACAATCTGCAGATTGAATATGTTTAAGGAACCTTTTTCATACATTAAGGGATTAATCTCTGCCCTTGAATCTTCTCTTCCTCCTCTTCTCCTCCTCCCCCTTCTACCCCCCTCTCCCCCCACACACACTGAATTAAAATGGGAAGAATTCGACCCTAGGTTAGGTCACAGATGTCTTCCTTTTAACCAGAATCACATACAGCATTAATGAGAAGTACTGGTTTGTGCGATATTCATAGTAATCTGTGTGAGTAGGCAGTAGCTCACGGAAAGTGGAGTGAAGCTTTGAGTTCACATAAATCTGCCCTTTTATACTGTGCTGGGATCTACTGTTTTACAAGAGCCAATTTCTGAGCAAATTGGGGCAAATGTACGAAAATGGAACAATTCTTTAAGGACGGAAGAATTTTGATTCCTGAGAAGTTGTATAAAGATGTTTACATTGCACGTGGTTGTCTACAGTGATAATCAATTTGAAAACTATCTGATGAGAATTACCCCAACACACAATATGCCCGTTATTATAATGCAGCTACTTGATACCTTAAAACCATTAATTGTAAAACAACTCTGGGGGGGGTTTCAATCAAGAAGATTCACTTTCTGCTGAGGTTCAGTAAAATATGTACCATAAAAACTGGCAACGAGATGTGTCATCTTCAAAGCCCCGAGAGTCAGCAATTTCCTTATTTGCCATCATCTACCTTTACACCAATAAGTGCCATATGCATGAAGATAATAATATAGCTTGTTGCAGTGGTTGTGTGCTCAAGTCCAAGCAGTAAGTACTTGCACTAAAATTTCTCTGGATTTTTTTTATCCACGTGTGATTGTACGAAGGTGAACTAAGGAAAAAGAGAACAGAAGGTGGTGCAGTTCTCAACACGTTTGTAGTTGGAGCAGGTTAGGGAATTAACAGTTTGTTCAGAGTGATTGGCTGCCCAATGAGCCTTGAAATGAACCATCCCCCACAGATCAGAGCTGTGCCAAACGGACGCTGGACCTTTTGTTGCCGACAGTAAATCACAAATCAATGGCTGGTAAATATCGTGGCTGACTTTCCAAAAAAATTTGTCGCTTTCTTTTCTTTTTTTTTGGAACCACACCAAGTTCAGCTGAATCAGGATCTGAAGGGGGTTGAAAGTTGCTGTATTTGCATTTCTAAAGTGGTGTAATAGTGTCTCCATTCAGTTTCGAAATACTGAAAGCTAAACACTCTGTTTTCTGCACAGCCACAGACAAACAACAGCAAAAACAACGTAGTAAGCAGCCCAAAAGAAAACATTTCTTCACCAACCACAATGGTACCTGCTGAATTCTTATTTCCTTCGTGTTGTAACTTTGTTTTAGTGAAGTCACCTTTCTCTCTGTTTATTTTTTGGGGGGGACAGTCAATTCCTCATCCAATTATTCCTCCCCACTCCTTCCTCTGGATTATGCTAAATGTTTGCCAAGTTTTCTTTTAAACCCAAAACATTAAGGTTTCATTGTGCTAATTTTCTCGGTTTCCGATAATTGTTGAAAAAGTTAACCTATTGAGAAATAATAGTTTTTGATGGACTTAAGGGGGATAAGCATTGGAAGTAGCAAATACTGTATGTACATTTTTAGCTTAAGATTGATTGACGCCAAATAAAAAAATGTAAGGTTTGAAAGATGCGTAATGTTTGGAGAGAAAGTAAGCCACGTGTTCACAGGAACTGCTCCGATAAAAGATAACTTTTGCTTCGGAAGTAAATCAATAGGTGTATTTAAGTTTAGAATGTCATTGTCCTGTGCATATTTGCAAGCAACTAGTCCAGCACAAGTAAAACAAAATAAGAAACAAGTCTATGGAATTTGTTGTTACATATTCTTTTGTGGCTTAAATCGTTCTTGACTTTGTCAACACAATATCGCAAACTTTGGAATGGTAAATTGGCAATACCTAAGTCCAATTTGAGTGAAGTAGATCGATTCTTACAGAGTCTGTGTGTCCCTTTGGAGCTGCAATGAACTTAGTTAGTATAGCCAATAAAGCTCATAAGAAATTAAAGCAGACTTGTGAACCTCAGAGTCCAGAGGGGCTTTTAGTCAATACTTTGGAATGTAAATATTAGCTGTGAGGTCCTCGGACTAGCTACTTCAGCCATTGGATGTTTAACATTTCAGGTCAAAAGGTTTCCTTTTAAACTAATAACAGGAGAGAATTGAACTGTTGGAATTCAACTTTGTTGTAGTGTGTCAGTATTTTGGCATAAGACTCAGGTTGACATTTTTTGACTTAGACAAACTATTTGTATTATAGTACTTTTTTTAAAAATGACAAACCTAAGAATTTGTGCATAAAGGTTTACCACATAATACTAACTTCTTTCCTGTCTTGCTTATTCAGGAGCCACAAACAACTGTAGTCCATAATCCCTCAGATGGCATTAAGGTACCCGTTTCATGTCCATTTGTCATACCAGTAACAAAACACGCCTTTGTTTGTACATTTTATATAGCTGTGAATAATTCCTCTTTCATGTTTAGTCTTTATCAAGTTGTCAGGCACACATTTAATAAGCAGGTATAGAATTGGTACACTCTCGTGCTGAGTAGAGCAACGAGGCTCTTAGTAAAATGGTTTTGTGCATTACAAAAATATTGTAAGGAAATAATCAAGTGTCAGTCTGGCTCATCTCTGAGTTAGAGACGGTGGGAAAGCTCTGTTGTTTGGAGATGCCATCTTTCAGATGACACATTAAATCTGTTCAGGAGGATGTGAAGGAAGAACAAAACGCCATTCAAAGCGAGAAGGGAGATTCTCGTGGAGTCCTGGCCAGTTCTCCAGATTAATTTGCCTCAAAGCTGTTTGTGGGGCCTTACAGGCACAAACTGTTGCAGTATTTGCCAACAAAAATAGACACTGGTCAATAAAGCAGCTTTGCTCACATCGGTATAAAGTCTGCTCGAGTGTTAACGTGAATGGGTTGTAAATTGGATCGGTTTGAAGTCTGAATGAACACAGCAGTCAAACAGACCAATATGAAAGATCTGTGCAGTCGTAAAAGTGGTGTGTCTGGAAACGGCTGAATTCCTATTTTTACTTCCGGAATTTTTCTTAAGAGGCTCAGTATCGAGCCATCTGACTGAAATCTGGAAAACTCCCTAATGGAGTTAATCGGCAGCCATGACACTAAAACGTCAAATCATCTGTTTGGGGGAAGCTGAAGATGTAACTGATATGCTCTTGGCTACCCTGAGGTCTTTCATTTACATTTTGACCATGTGAATTATTTAACTTTCTCACAGTGTTTTAGCACTTTGGATCAAACAATATACTGTATATTCTTGAATGAGTGTGGGTCCTGGGTGCAGACGGTTAAACCACACTGTGGGGGCTTATACAGGGGGCTCTGGTATAACTCCCTTGTATAGCTGTGCCATTGAAAGAACTTGTATGAAAAACGTCTGTTTTTGTTTAAGTCTATGGCCTGAAACAAAGAAGATGCTGGAGACGCAATCATTTTCTATGAGTTTGTCTCAAGCATGTATCTTCCACATCTACTTGTTATAATGCGACTTCATTGTATAATTTATCACTCAGAGGATACTCGCAGCTGTTGAAAGTGGAATTTGTTCCATGCAAATGAAACTTTCATGAATAAAAATGGGAATGAACATCTAAGCCAATGGTCGCACCGATATTTAGAGGGGTTTGCTCATCATTCGAGTGTCCTGGAAGTGGCAATTTAATTTAGATTTAGAGACAAGTGCAGACTAAATCGTGCTGCATCGTTGCATTTGGACACGGAAAACTTACTGCTTTATGCTAGTAATGGTGCAGAGCCGTGGGAATAATTAAGCACTGAATCATTATTACTGGTGAGGCCACAATGTTTTAATGTGTTAAAACTGTTAAATACGTACAATCCCATATAATCACCAAGTAAGAAGCAGTAATGTGCCTTGTTATTTTTTTGTGGACATTTCATTCCCAGTACACCTGAATAAGCAAAGTAAATGAGAGCATGCAAAATGATTTACCCTCAATCCAACTTGTGTGATATAGAATTCTAAAATGTTTCTATTAATTTCTGCACAATGTATTCCAATTTCAAGTCATAAAGGGGAACGTGTTGAGCGTTGCACATTTTTGTAACCTGAAATGCCTCAATTAATCACTGCTAAATTCAAATTAACAGGACAATAAAGCATTCCTGAACCTCTTCACAGTTTGGCCAGACATGAATTGGTTTATCAACTCTCCCATTCCACAGCTGCAAGTGATGTATGTGGAGAGCAGTGTATGAGTATCAAGAGTTTTACTATTATTTCAGTGTTACTAATGCCTCCATCATTTTAGGCCTCTGTCTGTACTATAAAACAACGCTCAAGTGACAGTGCTGACAACTAGTTCTTGCTCATAGTGTAGCCCAAGCTTTTGTATAGGAAAATTCTTTATATTTTCCACCAAAGAGCTCTAGAAGCGACGCTGGTAGAGAAGTAACAAAGAGGCTGCTTTGTTCCATATACCTGTGCCTTTCATGAGTTTGGTGACTCGTCCATTAAATCTGCCATAAAGGATGTGTATTACAGTGCCATTTTCTCAACAACCACATATTCCTGATTTCAGAAGCTACATGAGCAGCTAATGGGCTTTGAAATACAGTTTGAGAATATCGTAAAAATCAAAGAACAATTCAAAATCAATGAAATAAATCCAAACAAACTCATCTTAGCGACTGAATACAGAATGTCTGGAAGTCATGCAACTATTGATAGGAAAGAGGTAGTTTTCTTGATCCAGTTATTCCTAGCGTTGCCTTTCTACCTTCCAGGCTGTCTCTAGCAGCAAAGAAGCCTGTAGATTCCCTGCCTCTCACCTGGTGATGGTGCTGTTGTGCACATTCAAGGGGAGATGCTCTTACCCACAGATGACCAAAACCAGACTGAGTTCAGATCATTAGTTTGATTAAAACAGACCCGTCACATCACAATCAAACCACCATTACTAGTTTATCACCAAACTAGTAATGCAACAAAATACTTCACCTAACTAGAAGTACTGACAAGAATGGTCGCAGTTGGCCTGTCCGGCAAGTCCCCTAATAGTCATAAGTGCATGTCACATCTGGTAATGGATCCACAGGACTTCCATGTAATAAGAATGCTCATTCTCCAGTGAGGTGCCTTGCAACCAGATCACCCTGTACATGGCCATATTTCACTGGGTTTCAGACGCATCAGTTGTTTATTCTACAGCGATGTTAAAAGAACATCCCTGCTGATGTATCAGTAATGTGTGCATTACGTAGAGCAATATTCACATAGGTGTGTGACTGAGGGTAACAGCTTGCATTTCAGCACATTAGTCGCAGAGACTCTGCTTGAATGAAACACACTGCTGGTTTTGATGTTTGTTTATATGAACGTGCTAATTTGCCAAAATAAAATGCCCCTGGATTGCATTAGGCATTTGCACCTTGACAAAATGTGTTTTGGAATTCAGCTGAATGCTGTATGTGCATTTGCGTGTACTTCAAGACATTTGTCCAGCCTACGCTGCAAATCTGATACTAGACCTTCTGAATTTGTAATTCACTACTTTCTTTGTCATAAACCGAGTAATAAGCTTAAGGCATAAACAAATGTTTAATCGAGTTGCTATTTACCAGGCTTTTATGAACAAAATAAAATCTTGTTTTATTCTAAATTAAGGCACTAATGAAGTTCTCAAAGGATTAAATTAGCAAATTAGATACAAACACATACTAAAGTAGACGTATAGAAACTTTAGATGTTTTCTAATGCTTTGTAGGATATGTAGAACTAACTCATTGTGTTGTTAAGAAGTAGCATGTTTGGAAGTTTTAAAGAAAGGTTGAAATGGGTTGAGAAACAAAGATCTTCCGATGGTTTTAGAACTGCTTTAGGAAATGATATGTTGCATTTATAGTGCAATTTCTTTTAAAAGCATTCGGGTTTTCTGCAAAAGTTAACAGCTATGATTTCTCCCACCGTAAATATTTATGAACTCATGCCCATTCATTGCATTAATTATAAACCATTGACCAACAGCCATTGCATAAATGATAAAATGCAAATAATAATAATAATAATAATCCTTGCATTTGATATAGCGCTTTTCACGTCGGGAGGATGTCCCAAAGCGCTTCACAGAACACACTGTAAAGTGAATTGACTGTATATTTGTGGGCGAACGCGGCAGCCAATTGCGCACAGCAATGTCCCACAAACAGTCGTAGATAGAAAATGACCAATTTATTATTGTTTTTGGTTTTGGAGGGATTATTATTAGGCGTGTGGAGTAAGGAAACTTGCCCAAGATTTCGCCCTGACCTGCCTGGGATTGAACTCAGGTCTCTTGCTTGCAAAGCGAGTGCTCTAACCACTGAGCTACAGGACTCTAAATGTTCATTACACACAAAGCATATGGCATAAGCACACTTTATGTGTATATTTCATGAATATTAAGTAACAAAGGGGTATTTGCTACTTATGAGTAGAAGCATAGTGACCAAGGTAACTACAGGGAGAAACTGGGAGCTTTTACACGATGTGATTGAGCTATCACATCTGTCCTCGTGGCAAGTGTCTACCACTCTTGGAATGCCTGTTACGATGCAAAATGCAATTCTCAAATGTTTCATGTACCTGTGCACTTACATGTGAACAGATATAAGGAACATTATGTTTCACTGTTTGTCAAATTCAAGAAATATTTCCTTAATAATAATAATAATTTTCCAGTTCAAAATTCAATCAGATTATCTTTAGCCTCACACAGGTACATCATTCCAGTCTGAACTGTAACCCAGAAGATAGGGTGATTTAAATAACGACTGCAATGACTTTAGCACAGTGATCTTCCTAACTTTCAGTAGCATTATTGAAGCAAATGCTTCACGTTGGTGTACAAGTCTAAAGCCTCAAAATCTGAATTAAGGATAAGTAGATGATGGAGGAGAGAGGATTCTCAGATCATTAGCAATTTTCCATATGGAGAGGCATGAAATACAATGCTTTCTCTCCTCAAGATGCATAAATTGGTTAACACCTTCTGAATTTTCACATGCTGCATTGTAAGTACATCAGCCAAAGCAGAGAGTCAGCCCAAAATCAACAATTGTAATGCAGCACACAGCTAACTGCACAACCAAAGCACAACGAGAACACAGTTGTTCAATGTACACTCCTATCTCAACCAGGATAAACTCTTGAGGAAGAGATAAATAAAAAGCATGTAGATATTGCCTTTTCAAAATGAAGATTGCAAAAAATTCATCAATTTTAGAATGCCTCACACTATTTGCGATATTAATTTGCAATATTCAAAGTCATTTCCTTGTAAGCTGCAACCATCTGGCAGCCCTGGAATAAATTCTATAATGCACATTTTGTACATTTGATGCTGACTAATCTCAGATTTTGTATCTTGTGATCTGTGTGTGTATCCTTTTCTGAGCTTTGCCACGTGGTTTGATGCTGGCCTTTCACTCACTGAAAAACTGTGTGCTGGCTGACCATAAATGACAAATTTGAGTTTGTTGGCATGAATAAGCATTCATCATATAAACTAAATATAGCTGACATCAGTAACATAATCAGCAACACAATAGAGACTAAGTAAACATATGACAAATTAATAAATTTTTCCAGCAAATCTGCTTCAAATAAACGTAAACCATGCTCCTATTGTATTTGTGCTACAGCTGAATACTTTTAGAAGCAAACTATCTTTTTGTCTTAGATTACTGACAGTCTTCATTATATTTATGACTATTGCATGAAATGTTTTACACGAATTGAGAAATATACACAACACTGTGGAGTGGGCGCGGGCAAGGAATGCTATCATTGTGAAGGGCTTATGTATCCCACAGGTTTTATGTTTCCCACAGGTTTTATGTTTAATGGATTCCTACCATTGCAAAATAGATTTTTTTTGGCCAGTCAGGTATCTGACTTACGCGGAACCCCATCATGGATTTAAGAGTCTCAAACCCCATCCTCTGAGAGTTCCACATAAGTATTGTGTCCGATCATCTGATGTGGAGTGCACATCCTCTTCTGAGAGGGACGCACCCTGCTTGACTAATCTCTTAAGTACATGTTGGCAAAAGCCAAGGCTTGGGGACCACAGAGTGTGCATTGGGATACTGCTGGAGTTTGAACAGTCCACATCGCACAGCTTATCATTGCAGAACACTGGTTAGCTTCCTGATGCTTGTCCAGCTCGTACCAAATAGTTTTATGTGGAGCTGTTGCACACCATGAGTTCATGATTAAAAAGGAAGTTACCTCTACTAAATAGCAAGATTCCGGTTGCATTGTATAAGTCACAGATTTGCTTGGACCAAACCTATTAGTCAAGTTGATAAAATCTTGATCTTTACCAACAGATAAGAAAATGTCATTGTGTGAAAAGATGAATTGCATCCAGCCATTCCATCAGAAGATATGAATAAATGCACATAAGTGCACACATAGAAAATTTAAAAAATCAACAATTCTTTTCATGAATAGTTGTGAAGGAAATATAACTAAGGAGTGCTTATTTAGTAACTTGTACTCCATTTAATGGTAAAAATTGCAGATGGTTGGTGCTTAGACAAATATTGTGAAAGTCTAGATAGCGTGTGTTCTGTTCATGACACTTATTTTTTCTTAACCATTTGAAACAGTGTCCATCAAAATAATGCTTTGCTACTGCATGTGTACAAGGTAGGCCGAGCAGTAAACCAAATAGTCTTTCCCCTTAAAATATTCACCAGGACTTATAGTGGTACTTTTAACAACTATGTTTGCCTACAGAAACTCCTGGTATGTTAAATTGACTTTAAATCTCTTCTAGTGCATGGTACCTCAGTTTTAATTTTAGTTAAATATATTCTGTGTAGACAAAGGAAAAAAAGAGTAGTTGCCAAGTGCTTCAGTTTTATCTGATATTTATACCTGGCCATGGTTTAGGAATGTTTAATACTAGGCATGTGCAACCGCTGATGTCCAAAATACAATATCGGATCCAGTGTGCATTGGTCCAAAGCTAAATTGTATCCAGACTTCAGGTTTCCTCATTGGTGCTTGTTCCTCTGAGTTAAGGTTGTGATCACCAGAAACCTGAGGTGATCAGCTTTACCCATCTGAACAATGTCTGGGTCTGAGCTCCTGAATGCTCCAGTCAAAATGTGTGGGTATAAATCTTAATATTTTAACAAATTAAATACGGTCTTTGTACGTTAACAAAAGGTTTGCTATCTCAGTAGAATAGTAAGGTATCATGGTTTTATACCAAATATTCTTTCATATTCTATTCTATTTGAACAATGGCAATCTTTTTCTTCTTTTGATTAAAACTCAACTTCAGTGTGTTCAATTCCACAAATATTACCTGTCTTCTGAACTAAATCAGTAAACAATTACCCCAATGGTTCTTCACATATGAAGATCAGTAAGTTTCTGTCCTAAGGCTAAGAGCATTATTGTGCAGTGGTAGCCCCAAAGGGCACTAGTTTACAAACTGGAACCTGAAAACTTGCAATATTTGTTTTATTATACCTTTGAGCTACATTCAGTCCTATTCATTTTGGATAGACACATGCTTTGCAACATTGCTTGTCTGCAGCCTCTGTGATTCACTGACAGACATGAGTGGATTTACAAAGGATCTCAAATCACTTTTTGTATTTAAGCCCAAAGGTATAATAATCAGTGTGATGCTTTATATTCTACTTTCCACTTTAGACAGTAAAAGCTGAAATAACAACTCAATCACATTTATATTAGCAACAAAAGCTTGAGATGCTGTTGTCCATTGAGGGAGGGGTGGGGGAGTCATTATCAGAATCTATCAGATTGATGCCGTTTGTATTACCTCCACAGGCAGTTAGACATTTTGTTTTTTTATTTGAGGGGAACAATTTTTGCTAAATTTACACAAGATCAAATATAGCAAACTGTAAACTTTGTGAATTCCACTGGCCCAGTATGTTGGAGCATCAATCCGTTATGCCACACAGAAAGGTGTTCATTCACAGGGAGGTAGGGATGATCAGCACATTTCACACTTGACCATCTCATCCTTTCCCCCAGGACACTGCCCCCCCACCCCTCCCCACTCCCCCCCCCCCCCCCCCCCCACGCCATTGGCAGAAGCCCAGGAGCAGATTGTCTCCACATGCTCTCAACTAGGATCGGACTACTTTCAGGAAAAAGATGCAGTAATTCCACTCTTTATTGGATTGTTCATGAATAAGAACAAAATGCATAATAACTTTATATAAATTAAAACCATTAAATCCATAATTTATAAAACATATGTGAGAGATCTGTGCAATTTGTTTCTGTGCCTGCAGATAGAGTCAGTGACATAAACATAAGATTCAGTGTGGAAACTAGTCATCCTTATCCACCCTGAGTAGGTAGTTACTGTATTGATGGTAAAATTGACAATACTTGTAGGAAACACAAGAATGATACATTTTCATTTACTGCCTTGAAAACTCTGAAAAGTATCATCAGGTTCTGCTGCCTTATTGAAAGGAAAAGACTGATGTATTCCATACACTGAGCTATGAAAAGATCACCTTAATGTTGTCAGTCTCCACTGAAATCTCAACATACACTGCGTCACTGGATGATTTAACAGTTTGTCTAAATAAAGTGCAATTGCAGAAATGAAAGCCTGAACATTTAAAAGTACTTATTATTTGCTTCCATTTTACATCAAGACTTTGATAACCTGTTAAACATTATTGCTAATGTGGAAATTAGTATCTTCTAGCTGTGTGAGAGTAGAAAAGAAGCAAAATTTCTCTTCTGTATGAAGTGCTATACTCTTTGATGGATTGAATGAAACCGTGATGTGCTGTGGCTAAGACATTGTTTCTTTTCCTTAGGAATCAACTGATAGCTGCAATACAACAACTGAAGACGAAGAAGTGAAAGGTAGGCAGTGCTGACACTGAGATGTCTTCATTTGGTTGGCCGCAATGTTCAACCTTACAGATCATACTTACATTCTGAAGCAGTAAAACTGTTTTGTTTAAAAAAGGACAATTTGGACATTTGAGTTTTTTTCACAATGCAATTCAGAGGGTTCAACTATCCAAAGAGTCACGTGAAGCCATTTGAATTTTTTTTAAAATGAGAAATCTTGGTAAACCGCCAAGGCTAAGAAAAAAGGTAGCAAAGGAAAAACTTGATAATTACTTAATTAGTGGTTAGTCGCTGCTACACGATGAAGGCTTTAAACCCTGGGTAAAGCTGCAAATCTACCACTCCAAAAGGAGAAGCCAAAAGCATGTTTCCTCTCTAGATATCACTGCATCAAAGTATCTCTGGGAGCAATGGACAATGAAGCTACATTTGCAGATAGTCATAACTCAATTCCATCCATTTCTGCTCAAACAGATTTAAGTGTCCTTGGAAACAACCTTGAAGATTTTGTGACATGGCAAGGCAGATAAATCTTTGTTATTTGATATTTGATGACAACAATGAACAAGTCGAAACCCCAGAATCTCATAATGACAGACAATAGACAGAATTGCAGCTGACTTATGAAGCCTAGAACGTTGTAGGTCTCTACTCATAAAGCTATTGCAAGGCTTCAAGTGTTCAGTAAATTACTTGGAGAACTACGTACTACAATATCAATAGCATAGTTTGAAATGAATGTGTGGATCATGTGCGTCATGCAGGATTGAAATACAGGATGCTGAATTAAAATGGGATTCAGAGACAATATTATGTTTTTTTGCAATAGAAACTATTTGAACCTAGGATGTTGCTAGGAAGGATGGTTCAGGCCAGGATGTTGGGCTTGTATGAAAAAAAAGCTTGCTATTGTGATAAGCTGGGTATTCTGGCAGGTTGAATAGCTGAAGGGTCTTCCACATCTATTTTGTGATTGAAATAAAATGATTGTGCCCACATTTAGTTATTTGCCTGGAGAGAGGATTAATTCGGCAGGTAATGTTAAATTGCTTTTATCACTCTGTGGCGTATTTGGTAATGTGAACAGGCAGTGATGCATCAGTAAGCAAGCAGCTTGAAGTAATTCAGGGAACTCCAGCAGGCTGCAATTTACTCCCCCCCCCCCCCCCCATTCCACCCCGCTGTAACTCTAGAATTTCCATTAACATATGAACAGATTGCCAAGCTAGTTAAAAAATGATCTTGGCAGAAAGGAAGCAAGAAAATTAACTGTACATTCTTAGAAGAAAGGTAATTCAGTTGGTGATACTCAGTAACGGACAGTGAGCGTGGCTGCCTAAGGACTTAACAACTCAAAAAAAATTTAATAGTGGGAGGGGGGCAAAAAATATCTTATTCAGTATGATAGCATTGATCAGAAGTTGGAGAGTTAAAGCTGTGAAACCACCTTGCTGTATACCACATTAAGCAGAGACATGGCTGGTGTACTTATCAGCTGTTGACTGTGGTGGCATGAATATGCAGAGGGAGTCTGGCTGTGATATTGCCCTTCACCATATTTTAGGATTGTTCATTACTAGCACAGTGCTATTACCCTTCAACCCCAAACAACAGCAACAGCCTGTATGTATATATAGTGCCCTTCATGCAGGATAGCATCTCAAAGCGCTGCACAATGGCAGGGTTGGACACACGCAAGGGAGAGGTGACCATAAGCGCACATGAAGAAGCAAGTCTTAAAGAGGGAATTAAAGATAGATAAAGAGGGGGTGAGGTAGAGGGATTGAGGCAGGTAGTTCTGGAGGTTAGGGTGTAGTGACTTAAGGTCCCTTATACAACTTAATAAATTTAGTAGAACTTCTCCATTTAACAATTGGATTAATAATAATAATATTATCCACTTTTTATGTAATCTATTTCTATTCTATCTAATGATGTTGATTCCATGTGATATCCACTTAGATTTATGGATTATCAGTTGAAATTGAGAAAATGTGAAGCCATTCGGCTCATTCTTATTTCCGTTTTACTAGGTCCGTACATGTGGTGGCGGAAAATAGAGTTACTTGTGTTATCACAATGCCATTTTATTTGAATGCATCTATATTCAGTATAATAGCATTAATTATGTTTCCTATGTTGTAACGCCCCTGTTTGTTCTTCTCAATGCTGCCATCAATGAATGCCAGTATCAACCCATGATGCTGGCAGTAAAAGTGTAATGAAGAGTCAGTCAACTGCTGAGCAGGTTCATACTGACCAACCCCATGAGATTCCACTCAGTAAGTTGGCAGCAAGCCTTTTTGCTGCACTCTAGCGTGTTGTGTGCTAACTAGTAAAGTAGTACGTGTCTGTACAGACTTGATTGCATGCAGAGTTGGAAGATAGCATTGTAATCCGAATATTGATTGAATTAACGTTTGAGATTTGAATTGACTTTTTCCAAGCTCATTTTTTTTGCAAATTCAACTTTGACCAGATTGAGTTTTAATTCAATTACAAACACATGTAAATTACTGGAAAATGTAGAGCACCGAATTAGAGATACAGTCTGGTTCGGTTAAGTTTTCTAAAACCTGCTAAGCTGCAAATACATCAAGTTTTATCCTTCACACCTGTAAGTAATCTATCAGTTATCAGTAGCATTGCTAGGCAGCGTGGTGCATCATGGAACGTTAGGATGTGAGCTTGTGGTTCCCCCATCCCCCCACCCCACCTCCACCCCAACACCATTCCTGGTCCCTCTTGCACGCTTGCTAGTGACCCATCACTGATCAGCATCTCCTAAGACCTTTCAGCAAGCTGCCTGTCACCTTCCTAAGGTGGCTTGCTGCACTAGAATGGATCATTTTCTCTTTCCATGACATTCACTGAATAAAAGTGTTATTACCACACAAGTGTGTAGTATTGTGGGAGCCTGTCATTTCATTCAGATCATGTGGAGTGCAAGTGAGGCTTTATATCATAGTAAGACTGACTAAGTTGAGCAGTTTTCTACGAGCAAGGTGTGACATAACTCTGGATCTCAACCAGTTCCATCACACAGAACTGCCAGTGAAAAGAAATGCGTGCCCAATGGCTATTCTTGATGGATTTTCAATATTAAGTTCTCCACTGAGTTAAGACTATTCCGCTTTTACCTTTGTTGCCCCTTAACAAATCCAGCTCAAGCTAATAGGATGAAGGATCTCTTCTCTTGATGGCTGCGTGGGTCTTTGCCAAGTGAGAAATATTTTCAGTTTCTGCTTTTCGTCACCAAACCAATTTTCAGTCAAAATAACAAAAGTTAACTGTTGTCAAATCATGCTTCTAGTTTTATTAGGCTCCCAGAAACATGGGTTGTGTCTTACAGATTATTCGGGATAATAATCCCTCCAAGAAACAAAGCAATAATAAATTGGTCATTTTCAATCCATGCTTGTGGGACACCGCTGTGCGCAATCTTCTGCCACGTTTTGCCCACAAATATACAGTCAATTCACTTTACAGCTTATTCTGTAAAGCGCTTTGAGACGTCTAGGAGACGTGAAAAGCGCTATATCAAATGCAAGGATTATTATTATTATGAAAGTAATATTACTCTGAGGTACAATCTGTTCTGGGTTACAGAAACAGCTTGCATTTACATAATGCCTTTCAGGTAAGATAACCTCTCAAAGCACTTTATCACGGCAGTGGGATCTCTGAGTACATTGGGAAGAAGAGGGAAGTTTAAGGATGTTGATCAAAAGTACGAATCAAGATACAATGAAGGCAGGGAGAGAGAATGCACCCGGCGAAAGTGTTTTGGGAAAAGAGTTCCAAAGAACACGAGCACAGTGACTTATATACAAATCTGATTGCAGCAGCCTGGCTGGTCAAAGCCTCAGTGATCATTTCTTTCTTTGTCAGCAAGGAAATAGCTGCACAAAAAATGTCATGACTTGAATCTGATCTCATCACAAACTCATTGATTGAGTTTGTAAAGCAATGCTGCTGAAGGCAGGTTAGGCTGCATAGATCTGCACAAAACGCTGACAGGACAACAGAACACATTTGAAGAGATGATTTAAAATGAAAGGTTGAGTTTGTGCTCAGCAAGGTGAGGGATGTCAGTACGAGGTTGTGAAACATTTCACCACTATTTCACGAAGCAGCTGCGTCCAGCACATTTGATGGACCATAGCATGATAGCCCAACACGTTAATTAGACAAGTTCACCCCTCAATGCGATTGTTGGATTGTTCCGCAAGACTATAAATGTACTGCTAATTGTTACCAGATTGTTTTGCTGTGGATTAGTGCCCATTAGGAATTAGTTTGAGGTAGCTCTCTGAGAGAGAGTCATTTGTCATTGTTTGTCAGCAGTGCTGGAACTGATTTCTCAACAGTCCGCAACAAAGCAAAGAAATAAACCTGGGGGGACATAGTTTACGAATTCTATTACTGTGCACAGGCCACAGTTGTATAACTGTAGTAGATCCAACAGAAAGGAAAAATGTCCTCCCTAATGTGCACTCACAAGCATGAGCAAGTGGCTTGGTGCTCGCAAAAAGACCTCCAGTGCTGATGGTATAACAGCAGCATTTCTCCCCATCAGCCAAGTATACATTCTAACTAAGGCCATAAAAAGTGAAAGGATTGGATTTTACATCACTGCACTGCAGAGCTGTTTAACACAGTCTGGACATCCCATCTCTTTAACTAGCCATGATTCAGTCATTGGTTGTTTGCAGATGTAAGCGTTTTCTTTTAAAAAAAACAATTATAGTATTAGATGGTTAAATTGTCTTGCCACGTTTTTAAGAATAATATAATCTATTGCACAGGAATAGAAAACTGTTCAATGTTTCTGTTGGCAGTAAAGATACTTTACTCGCTGTTAGCTCGCTTGGTGTAATCAAGCTGGAGAGTCATTCCCTGTCCCCAACCCTCACCACCCCTATACTTTGGCAACTGAGCCCGAGTTGCTGAGCTGCATGGCTGGGAAGGCCCAGGTTTGATCTGTGCTCAGGACAAGGTGACAGTAGAGTCTCAAGAATTAGCCACAATGCGGATTACTATCCAGTAATGACTTCTGGAGGTGCAAGTATGTGGACGAGGCAAGGACTACCAATACTCACTAACAACTCGAATAATGCCAGTTGGGTGAAGTACTGTTGGTGCTTGGTACCTACCTGATAATTTGCAATCATACCCCCAGTGGAAGGAAACACAAGCCAGCCATTTTCAGGAGATGCAGAAGGATTTATAGATTAAAAACTGGTGAGAAATACGACACCAGGAGAAACTCCTTTCACAACAATTTTCTGTGACTACCAGAAAAACGACTTCAAGGTTAAGATTGAATTCAACAATTTGCCAAGTTCTGGACACTCTGAAATACTACATAAATAGAGTGAATCCAGTGGGAATTCAGGTGGAATTTCTCCCTTGATGATTAGTGCTATCCAGACACAATTTTGGACCAATTGAGATCTGAAAGCTACTGTACCAAATCAACACACCTTGATGATTAGTGCTATCCAGACACAATTTTGGACCAATTGAGATCTGAAAGCTACTGTACCAGATCGAGATTTATTAACACAAAATTAGTCTTTTCTCAACTTGGTCACCCTTACATTTGTTTATTGTTCATTAAACATTGTTCTTCAGTTCAACGGACTGTTGTGTTGCATCTGGGATAAGGGGATTGGAAAGGTCATTAGCACTGTATTAGTTAACTAAATATTGTGTAGTGTTGTATACATTGATAAATTGTATGTAACAACGAGTCTCTGAATATTCCAGCAGTTACAATTACTTCATACCTGCCTTTGTTACGAATTTCTGGATAGTGGTTCATATGGAATAACAAAAAGTCCATCTCCCTGTTGTGCACAGCTTGTGTGACTTTCTAATTGCCCTACACTATTTAAAGTGCTTTTCTCAGCTAGAGAATCAAACAGTATTGCTGAGGTGGGCCAGGCTAATGGTCCCAACCAAAGCAACACCAGTCAGCGTGGTCAGTAAATCCTAACGTTCCTCTGCCTTTATGCTGCATAGATTCTGTTGTAGACAAATATTTAAGCAATAGGCAATAGGTTATAGATAACAGATTTAGATTGTATATGAATATATAGTTGCACAAAATTTTAAAAAGTGTGAACGATGTGTTACACAAAATACAATTTGTAATCCCATTGTTCCTGCTGTGACAGTAGCCCCAACAATAGATTTTCGTTTTATGGACATTGGTCATACATAATAATAATAATAATCCTTGCATTTGATATAGCGCTTTTCACATTGGGAGGACGTCCCAAAGTGCTTCACAGAACACACTGTAAAGTGAATTGACTGTATATTTATGGGCAAACGCGGCAGCCAATTGCGCACAGCAATGTCCCACAAACAGTCGTAGATTGAAAATGACCAATTTTATTATTGTTTATGGTTTTGGAGGGATTATTATTAGGCATGTGGAGTAAGGAAACTTGCCCAATGTTTCGCCCTGCCTGGAATTGAACTCGGGTCTCTCGCTTGCAAAGCGAGTGCTCTAACCACTGAGCTACAGGACTCCAATAATGTAATGTATAATAATGTATTAAAAGCTGACTTCTGCATTCATCCTTCAGTCAAAATCCGCACCTCACACTGTTCTCTGAACCCTTCAATAAATAAATGATGCTTCACCTTTTAAGTGCAAATCTGGCATTACGTCAGTGAACCTCTGATGAAAACACAAGGAAGCAAAGGATGAGAAAATGTTATTTTGGTGTTTGCAGTTTGATTCCCATCACAACCCACTACCTTGGCTTTGTCAAGACTCCACTCTACCTTGGTTATTAATGTGGAGTCCTGTAGCTCAGTGGTGTGGAGTCCTGTAGCTGAGTGGTTAGAGCACTCGCTTCACAAGTGGGAGACCTGGGTTCGAAGTGGGAGACCAAGGGCGAAACCTTGGACAAGATTCCTTACTACACAAGCCTGATAATAATCCCTCAAGAAAAAAAACAATAATAATTTGGTCACTTCAATCCACAACTATTTGTGGGACACTGCTGTGCACAATTGACTGCCGCGTTTCGCCCACAAAAATGCAATCAATTCACTTTACTGTGTATTCGGTGAAGCGCTTTTGAGACATCTAGAAGACGTGAAAAGCACTATATCAAATTCAAGGATTATTATTATCAAGTTCCAGCTAATTGTTGAGCCTGCAGAATAACACAATGGCAATACATTAACAAGAGTTTTTAAGAGAGACTTGAGTCACAAATACAGAATCCGGCTGGTAACTGGAGGGGATCGCTGTACAAACCCTAATCTTCATCCATTCCAACGTGGCTGAAAACTCTGGTTTCCCACATCATGACAGTAACACACTTTAGGTCCCCGGCAGATTTCCCTATTAGCAACTGGGAATCTACATTAATTCTTGTTACAAATCACTGCAAATTAATCCCAAATGTTAAAGGTAGGCAGCGATTTCATCAAACAGCTCGATTGAAGGTATGTGTGGTAGTATGGAGGCTTATTTTATTTACTTGAATTCCATAATTGTTACTGGTGTGCTTGTTGGGGCCTGTCTCTATATATATCTTCATGTCTGTTTTCTTTTCCCCCACAAATATTCAGCCACTGAAATTGTGGATCTCACATGTGCAATGAGTCATTCTGATAATTCAGAGCTGTTTCCACCTGCATCTCCTCCCACACAGTGTAAGTGAAGCAGAAGGGTTTTCTGAGTCCTGGCTCAGCTCTGTACCTAAACCTGGCAGAAATTTAGACAAGAGTGAATCATGACTAAATTTTTTGTGCCTACTACTACTTAAAACATTAACTGCAAAGCAGACTACAGTATTTTAACAAGAGTGTTTGAATATTATTAATTTGTTAAAGCATACTGTAGTCTTACCGTGCAAACGAAAATGTTTTTTTTAACCTATTTTATTTCTAACATTTTGGTTTGAGACCTGAGAAGTCTTAAAAATATTTTTGGGGAGTGGCAACTCTGATTGTTCAGTGGATAAACCTACAGGAGATGGACCAGGAGATTGCTGATTGGAATCCCTGGTCCTGGTATTTCTATGCCCCCTCCCCCACCAACCCACAGGTAGTGTGTGTGTTTGTGTGTGTGTGTGTGTGTGTGACAGCTGGGTGAGCAGAGGTCAGGCTCAAAGCTGTGTCACTCTCCAGAGATGAGTGAAACTCACTGCCAAGGCTCACAAATGAATAATGGCGACTTGGGCAGGGTACCGGAGGGCAAAATGTGCCCGTGGAAACGCACCCCGGCACAAGCAGCCTAGACATCAGGAGCAGATGGCAATGGGAGAAAAACAAATAGAAAATAATTGAAAACACAATTTAAAAAAAACAACAGAATTATTTAAAGCTGCTCTTGGCAATTATCACGGTGGTTGATTTTGGCAGAGAATGAGTTCAAGATTTTTTCAAGCATTTGATGAAATGCCTTAAGAGTGTTTTTACCTGGTGTGTTGTGTCTCTAAACTAAGGGCCTGATAAAACTGTGACTTTGTCATGTCTTATCAAGTTATTGCCAAAGGGCTCCTTGAACTACATTTCTATGGGGTGAAAATCTCCTGGTGGGTGATTTTCTCCCATTGCTGCCAAGCTGCACTAACTTTAACGACAAAAGAATTTCTTCGCCCTCTTGTGTTTAAGATCGAGAATTAATTTGTTACATGATACTTGTAACAGTTTTCTTTAAATTTTTACCATCAACCGTCACTTGTACCTTTTCACAGCAAATGAACCACAAAATTGGGCAAACGGATTTCTTTTAAAAACAAATCGTCGTTGAGTTCTTTTTTTTAGCGCAGTTTTGTGTTGACTATTACCAAGTGTTGTGTTTTGCATGTTGGTACCGATTTAAAGGATGCTCGGAAATTCTTCTTCCCCCTACCCACCGCCCTGGGTTGTGGTGAAGGGCAGAAAAGACAATGTTACAGGATGGCAGTGATACAGACATGACAGGACACCGCAGAGTACTGGTTAGAGTGGGGGTGTTGTTGAAATGCAGTACAACAGGATTTATACTCATTTAATTTGCAGCGTAACCTCCACAAAATGTACTTTTCAAAGAAATTGCTGGCTAGAGATACAGCCTAAGACTTATTGCTGACATTTTTCCAACAGTTTTTCAACAAGGCTTAGAAATCCTGATTTTTTTCTTTTCAAAAATTCGGAGTTCCCTACTACTTCACCAAGTGCATGAAGGGCAGTCAAAGCTGTCTGAAGTCAGGCAGACTACTGATCTTGGCAGTTTGGGGGGGGGGGGGGATCACACTTATGCTTACTATAGATATATAATATATGATATGAAATATTGAAATATAAATGATATAGTGGTATAATATTAATATATAAGATCTTTATAATATAAAGATAGATGATAGAATTAGTGCTATAATTACAGGCTGACCCCCATTATAGTGCACCCCGGGATAGTTTGGGTCTGTTTATAGTGCAGACTCGCTGTGGACCCACACTATATGGGAAGTGCAGTACTTCCCTTTTTTTCCCCTTACAATCAAATTCCAGTGAGCTTAGCTTTCAGCTTTCTCCTGACAAACGCAGTCAGTGGATATAACAGCTTGTGAGAGAGAGAGAGCTCTCAGTCATGTGTAGTAATTGCCTTCTCGATATTAGTGCCACGTCTACAATAGTGTTCCTTTCAAACAATAAAAGTAGACATGTCCACCAGCAGATTTCTTCCCTATGAGAAACTTCACATTAAATGACTTCATTTCAGATGCAGAGTACAATACATCCTGAGCAAGTCTGTTCGTTAAATAGAACAATGCCTGTGTTCTTTGACACAAAATTGCAGGACAGCAGAGATGCATAAACAGTGCTGTTTTTTGGGGGGCGGGGGCAGCCAAATGTCTTGACAAATGTGGAAACCCATCACCGTGCTTAAGAATATCCAGACCAAGCTGAGATTTCCATGCATCCCACCTACACATGGCAATCCCAGAGATAGATTGTTGGAATGGAATATGCACTCTCTCCCTGGAGGGACACATCCTGCTTACCTAACTCAGGAAAGTATCAGGTGCAGGTTGGCAAGAACCAAGGCTTGGAAACCCCAGGGTGTGCATTGGGATACTGCTGGAGTCTAACCAGATAAAACCGCATAGCTTGCCATTGTTATTGCAAACTTTCCGGCTGCTTATCCAGCTAGGACCACCCTACCCGTTAGGGCTTTGGCCTTCAGGGATAACAGGAGCTGAGTGGGATGATTCCCTGTCCCCAGTGACTGATAAGCCAGGCTGGCTGTGCTATCATCAGCAGTGCCCTGGAATACTGGCTCAAGAATCGGACTACAGAAACCACCACAGAGGACTGACTCGATTCCGACATTCCTTTGCCAGGCATGGCACCTTGGAGCCAGTTCTGCTCCAAGGAGATCCTGCTTACCAACAGTGGTAGTAGCTGGTGTGTGTGTGTGTCGGGAATGCCCTAGGCCTGAAGATGAAGGACATTTCAGTTTAGAACCTGGAACAAAGTAGCTCTGCAGTCAGGAGGAGTGAAGCAAAACATTATTCCTTTGTTACCCACTCCTGCCCGTGGCTGCCGATTTGAACAGAAGGTGAACATTGAAATTCCATACGGGGAGGAGGAGACCCAGTGCTCTGATTTACAGAGTCACAAACACACTGTGAAAGTCACCTCTGTTAGCAGCCCTGCCGAAGTGGTGAAAGCAGCACGTGGCTACTGGTTCAAGGAGAGAGCAAATTTCTACCTTGAGAGGACGAGAGGAGATTCTCAGTTTAAGCAAATTGCAGGCAATGCAGTTTTTGTTCTTGCTTCACAAACACTGGAAACTTTCTTCCGAATCCCTTCTCCATTGGTACTTAGTACCTTCAGTGCTGCTTTCTTGACCCCCCCCCCCCCCCTTAATGTTGAAAGCAGTTTAAGCAAATGTTGGGGAGTTGTTTTTTCTACTGAATGTTCTCAGATGGTTTTTGCATTGTTTTCCGTTTCGTTGTGCCAATGAGCATTCTGCACAGAAAGCAACTGGTAATTGTTTGTTTGTCATTATTATATAAAAAATACAATATATATATATAAAATGAACACATCTTACAAAATGGACATGGGGAAAATTCCTCTAGTTACTTAAGTTGCTGTTCATGTCAATGATTGAGTTTGAGTATTTTTTCTACCTTTAAACGTACAAAATGTAATACAAAATTACATTTGTATAGTGACTTTCACGTCAGGAGGACGTCCCAAGGCACTGGACAGTCCCGGATTTGGACCTGAGTGGGTGAGGCGGGGGGTGGGGGGGTGCTGGTTGGGATTAGGGAGGGTGGAGGGCAAGGAGTAGAAAGGTGGCCGATGGCACGGTGAAAGAGGGGGGATCTTGAGATGTGCCTTGAAGTAGGCAAGAGAGAGAGCGAGACAGTCTGTTTTGGGTGAATAGACTTTGGCAGCCTTAACTCCGCTGTATTTCTAGTGGTCCTAGATAGCATTGTGTAGCCTCTGTCATACAATCTGACAAAACGGCAGATGTGGAGTTATTTACAAATGGGCCTCGAGGTAGTTCAGCAAGCATTCTTTTGGCCCTTGTGGTTGAGGTAAATTGTTGCACTGAAATCACCTTGGTATCTTGAACCAAATTTGCGAGATGGACACTTTGCAGAGCAGCATCTTATGTTCCTCTCATATGTTTTTTTCCCCAAAACTTTAGCACGCAAGCAGGACATCATCAAGATCACCGAGCAACTGATTGAAGCCATTAATAATGGGGATTTTGAAGCTTACACGTAAGTATACCTTGATGTAGGGACTAATGTTTGGGTTAATGCAGAATTTCAGAGAGGAAGCCAAGAAGCAATGTGCTATTAAAACATTAACTTCATACCCTCAGATCTCCCTTGCCCTTCTCCTGACTACATTTTCTTTCTATTGAGTGCTTTTGCCCCCCGATACCTAGCCCAAGAGACCACTCTACATGTGTGAGCCTTGATATTAAGTAATCGGTAGACAGTTTGTCTTCAAAGTCATCAAAATCAAACTTGAGAGTGCAAAAAGCTCATCATTGTGCATTAGGCAAGCTAATGCGTAGACACAGTTTGTTTTGTTCCTATGCAAGTACACAGTGCAAATTTATAACAGATAAGACCTCAATTCAGAACATTTGTAGCAGCATCCAGCTGCTAGGTTTATTGCAACCAGTCATCTGTTGTCCCTTAGAATCCAAAACTATATTTAATAAATTGTATTTAAATTATTGGAGGCCATGAACAGACATTGCAAGATATTCACAAATGCAGTTTTGTAGCAATGAGAAACAGAATTATATGAAATCTGCACGCGTCAAGTTGTCTGGCAAAAGGGGATCCAAACATTGAGTCATGTTGAAAATATTCTTTGCCAGGACAATTACCAGACTGATGATCATAGTACATCTGGAACCTCAGCACTTCAAAGAAGAAAATGAGTCATTTTTAGAAATTAGCCTATTATTTGAGTGGAGGAAGGAACCATCAAGAATGACAGTTGGCAAAGGAAATGTACATCAGAACCAACAGCTGTGAAGATTGGAGCGAGATTACCTTGACTGCATAAACATGAACTCTGTACTAGTTAATAAAACCAGCCAGTATCTTTAAGAGAAGCAATAGGGAATTATACTATCAGCAGTACAAACAATGAGAAGATCTAGAAAGGTAGAGTTAGTATTTGCCAAACTGTCCCAGTCTTTGAAGCAGACAAGTGCTCACTTTGTAACTCTGTGATCACGAGATTGTATTCCTAGATGAGACTGCAGTTCACCTTGGTTTGCCTTCACAACATCATAAAAAGAAAGCCCTTAGGCCCATAGATCTCATGCTTCCACAATACCCACTGTATCTTCTCATCACAGCATCAAGCTGTTTTTATTAAAACATGTCCAGCAACCTGCCCTCAACAACCCATTACATTTCATCAGCTCCAAGTAATAAATGGTTCAGATTCTTTTTCTAAATCTAATTTTCTTTTAAATTTGCCTAAAAATATTTCCCTTTTGGAAGAAGGCACAACAGCAAAAGTTTACAACTTAGCCAGGATTTCCAATCCTTCTTGCAATCCACTGACGACTGTGCTGGAAAGTGCACTTTCAGGAAAGGACATAGAGAGGAAATCTCAAATGGCCATTTGCACAGTGGGCAGGGGCACCTACATTTGTTGCTGAGGCCCACCCCCCCCTCCCCCCCCAAGATGTTTATTCATCTAAATGATTCAAAACACTAACTGCAAATTATTTAAAACAATGCATCTTGGAGTCAGTATTTAACATGGTGCAGTATTAGTGCAGTATATTAAAGTACAATCAAAATATACCATAGCAGATACCATATAATATATACCAAGAGTGGATTCTGGGATAATGGCTGTACAGTGTGTGAAAATGCAAGAGCCGGAGTTGAATATTAATGTTTAGGTTCTAAGTTGAATGAAAATTGGGAGGGTTTTTGTGCCACATTGAATAGAATAATCAGAGCTGCTATAAAGTGAAAGCGAAGAGCAGCAAACCTGTAAATAACAGGAGGTGATGTAAACATACAAACGTAAAAAACACCCTGCAATTCCCAGAGTGAATAAAACCTGCTGCTTAACAAACACAGCTTGAAGCCATTCATTATAGTCAGCTTTGCCTATCCTGTAGAAAATAACATTTCATGGTGGGACAGTAACAGATGGCAATGACCTTGTTCGAAGTAACACGGTTCCCTCTAACAGACCTGTGCGATGTCATTCATAAGCTTTGCTCCCACAGTGACAACCAGACCACAATAGCTGGGTGGTGTTGGTCAATGCTGTGATGTTACTCAGAGCCACCTAACTCTGTGCTAAGAGCGCCTCCTTGAGGTTTTTGCTTGTTCTAAAGAAATCAGTGGAGCTACAGATGGAAGTTGAATAATGGCACACAGATGGATGTTGAGAGAAGAGCTGTATTCTGTAAAAAAAAGTTAAAATTAAGAGGAAGGTTGGCATGGAAACAACCACACAAGTTAAGAGCATACTTTTCACGCTGATCTCTTCACTGAGCATTTTGCCTATGATAAAGAAACCAGATCATCCCGAACTGTCGGGACAATTTAGAAATTTAGATGATTCTTTTAATAATAAATAGGATCAAACAAGCTGGCAGCTCGTTTGTTGTAGGAATAATAACAAAGTAAGGAATGAAACAAAACTACTCAGACCATCTATATCATTCCATCATGTTGCAAATGTAATCTTGAAAACAGCCTTGTTTTTTTATTAAAAAGCACACTACTGAAAGCTTAGTGCTTGTGCAATGCCCTCGGTACTTGTTTTGCCACCCTGGCCTAATATTTTCCGGAATTAGATTAGTGGAATGCGTCCCTCCACGGAGGGAGAAAATGCCCATTCCATTCCAATAATCTGAAGAATATGATCCTTGTCTTTTAGGAAAATCTGCGATCCAGGTCTAACTTCATTTGAGCCCGAAGCTCTTGGAAACTTAGTGGAAGGGATGGATTTCCATAAATTTTACTTTGAGAACTGTGAGTATGTTTTTGTCAATGAACTGTATGAGTCAAGCACATCTGTAACTTGATGCAGTCTGTCAGAGTGATAACCATGCTGGATCAAACAGAATCTCCTCTATTTAATCACATTTTAGATCACTTGATTAGTTTTGTCAGCTATACGATTTGTAGACGAGTCCCATAGGATGTGCAACTAAATGCTTTACATGGTACATTTAATAATGTAGGATCATACGAACTGTAATTCTAAGTATTGTCCCTGATTCCAAGCAGATGCATATTTGTGAGAGAGCAGTCCTTATTATAGTATGCAGTCTGCTCGACCACCTAATTTCCTGCAGAGGGACAGGGGAGGGCTAGAGAAGAAACACTACCAAACACTTACAAAGTAGATATCTTAACCACTTACACTTCATTATTATCTAGAATCTTACAGTGAATGATGGTTAGTGCACATGCATATCCTTGGGTTAACTAACTTGCATCAATAAGGTTTTCCGCCTAATAAATACACAGTCACTGCATTTTACAGAAAATCCTGAAGAGTTTTGAGATGTTTTGATGACATGATTAAAGCACTAATATCAAATGTAAGAATTATTATTTCCCATTGTAAATGAGGTTTGCACGTACTAGCAAATAGTGTATTATTTACCCCCATTGTATGCAGACTCTCCCACCCATCAGTGGATCCCTCACAATCTGCACGCAAACACTATGTGACAGCAGTATTTAGCTGTCTGTAACCTCTCTGTGGCTCGCTCATGTGTTCATGCCCACAACCCTCCAGAGCTTCCAATTTCAACTGTTTCACTGTTGGGAAACAAGAGAGGTCAAGCATTTTCCAAGAAGAGAAATGAAGGAGATAATCGTGACAAGCCCCTGTAGACCTGGTAGTAGTTACCTTCGGAGTGGAAATGTCACAGGCTTGCAAGCAGCATACCCATTTACCGAGAAAGCTGCACGACAAAGAAAGAGACAGAAAGTGATTGGAGAAGGTATCTCCATGGGATTCAGTTTAACATAAAAGAACTTGGGAATGAAACAAATTTAAAAGGTTACATTATTTCCCTAATAGTTCGCCAACAGATGTGTTTGTGATGGTTTGATGGAACTGGATCTTAAGTAGATATAACAATACAAATCCTTTTAACTTCTACTTTAAAGTGTTGTCCAAAAACAGCAAGCCGATCCATACTACGATTCTGAACCCCCATGTTCACCTAATCGGAGAAGATGCTGCCTGTATCGCCTATATCCGTCTTACTCAGTACATCGACAGTCAGGGGAGGCCAAGGACAACACAGTCCGAGGAAACGCGTGTCTGGCATCGCCGTGAAGGGAAGTGGCAGAACGTACACTTCCACTGCTCAGGAGCCCCGGCTGCTCCACTCCAGTGAACACAACCTGCAGGCGAGTACGTTCCCCAACTAGCTTCGTATTACAGGTTATGTTTGATAAAATTGGGGTGCAGTATTCCTAAAACCATTTCTTATTAAAGGAGCTTCTTACTCCGTCCCACCACCCAGATCACAAGATGAATCTGGATGAAGAAGACCCTTTGGCCAATGTAATCTCATCCTTCCAGAACACTCACCTACCATCCCCCTATCCCTCCTCCTCATCACAGCATCAAACTGCTTTTTAAGTGAGCCCAGTGTCCTGATCTCGACCACCCTTTCTGACTACCAACTCCAGTTAGTAATTAGCTTCTGAGTAAAAGGATAGAAAGAAGCACGGAAACAGCAGCCACTCGGAGGCAACTGTAGATCAAGCAGGTGCAGGCAAAAAAGCCGAATAGCTGAGCAGTGGATCTGAAAACTGACTCATTGATTGTATTTTCCTTCCCAGCTTGGGGATGTTGGAGTAGACTTCTCGTCTAAGCAGTGGATTGAAGCCGATCACTGTCACGGTGACCTCTTTGAAGACCAGCAGCACCATGCGCGAATCTGCATGTGTATGATGCTGTGGTGGCTGCCTATTTGTTGTTTTCATGGATCCATCGTGTTTGTTTCTGCTGTATGGGAGGTGTACAGATAAAATGGCTGCTGTATATGTACCTGATAATTCACTTGTTTGATGGCAGTGGTTCGTACTAAATAAAATCTGAACCAAATACTTGCCAAAGTATGGACATCCATAATTAAAGTAAAAACTTTTTTAAAAAATCACAAAAAATAACAGTCGGTGTAGTGCTCAGAGGTTAAAGGTATGCCTTTCTTGTCGAGATTCTACAAAGGTTACCTTAACTCTGACCAGTAATTGTCATTAAAAAGAGCGCAATAGCAACCGTAGGTTCAATTGAAGGTGCAAGAAGGATACCATGCAAACTGCAGCTTCCTCTGTCAATGAAAAGTTAAAGGTTAATTGCTTTACTGAGACTCCTACTTCGGAGGTCAATGAGCAACAATATGTTGAAATTTGAAGGCCAAGACTATATGACATTGCTGTTCTGTGAAACTGTCTGGAAAAAATACACTCCTAAGCAATTGCTTTTTTTTCCCTCTTATCAATCTATTGCAAAGTGAAGCTGTGATCTCATTTAAACTTATCAGAATGGAACACAAAAGTATTTCTTTCTTATCTGTTAACATTTCTTCCAGTGTTCTTTACAGCAAAATTAATATGAATGTATAATATTGAAGTTTTGTCTTGGCCTATGTGCAGTAAAACTATCTTTGGTTAAAATGCTGAATCATTCACATACAGACGTTTGCAGTATGTCGTAACCTAGTAACAATCACGACCATTTGAAAAAAATTGGTGGTTATACTCTGCCTTGTGTCATTGAGGTATGGTGTACATGTATAGCCATGTAACATTATCTTATTTGAGTACGAGATCAAACATGAAACACAGTGTTATTTACATCTGTAGACTGCACTGTGCTAGTTAGGGGAGAGCCTCGTCACCTTAGCATAAAATGGTCACACATTGAAAATATATATGCAGTTTTACAGAGTTTATGCATGTGTTGTTTACGGTCAATATTTTCACTGTCTGTGTTTACTTGACAAAAATAATGATGTACCTAGTTCTGCATCTTTAATGATCTTGCACAGTCTGGAAAGTATGTACCACATAATTTAAGCCTGAGCTTGATAATGATAAATTCCTGTTTAAAAAAGGCAGAATCAATTAATTGCATTGTTACTGTATCTTATGGGGCTAATATCTTATAGTTTTAAATAAGGCAACTGATGCAGGATTTTGCATGCTAAAATACCCAGTGTTTGTTTGTTATGAATGTTGGTAGATCTTCATAGCTTTGTTACTATAGGACTTGATCTAAAAAGTATTTAATAAAATAAAACTGATCAGTGCATCTTGTTTTAACTGCTGCAGTCGATGGATGTTTACCTTAAAGCCTGCTTGGATTTGTTTGGGAAAATGTTGTCAATTAACAAGGAGCATTCTTAAAACTTTGAGTACGCAATATTCATTGGTATATTCAATTATTTCACTATTGAGTCCAAAACACGTGAAGCAGAATGGTTCAGAATTGGTTAAATCAGAGCCAGTGGATAAGTACAACTACAAAGACTTCTCTTTGCTATTGTACATTTACATGGCTGCAAATTGATCATTAACGACATACTTTGAGATTCCTGTTTAGACAGATCACCCCAGCTGCTGTTTGATTACATCCTAATCCTTAAATGATGGGACCACTCATCATTTGCATTTAATTGTACATGCTTTTACCTCTTATCAATTCATCACCATTTAATGATGTGTCGAAAAGCTTTCTAAATCAGAAAGGCATGATGTTCAGATGCCAGTTAATTGACTACCTTATCCGACACAGGTGAGTCAAAACCATTTTTTTGTTTGTTTAAAAAAAACAAATCTCATGATTGTTCACATCCTCTGTCTAGCTAAATATTATAAATCCTCCAAATATAATAGAATCATTCTCATCAGCTTTCACTAATTTTGGGACTTGGTCATTTCACTACCAAAATGTAACCTTTTCTGTGTGTGTCTCACTCTGAAAATAAACACACTTCTGTGTACTTAACCAGATTTGTCATCTGTGTTCCTCTTTGGGATCAAAGTGTCTCATTCCCAGTAATGCACTAAGGTTAGCAGCTATGCAGCATCTTATAGCAATGTCTGAATATCATATCAGTGAGGGATTGTCTTAAACATTTGCAAAAAAAATTCCCCTCAAGCACTTAGCTTAATGCAATTAGAATATGGCTCATCTTCAGTATGCATGTTGTGGGGGTGGTGGATGTGAGAGAATGAGAGAGAGCTTCCTTTTTTTCTACAATTTAAAAAAAGTTAGCAATTTTTTATTACTCAATGAAAAGCATCAAAAGACAAACTTTTGAGACAGTGTCAACCAGAGAATGGTGGAAAAACGATGAGTACCTGAAAAGGGAGAGTGGTGAGTTGGAAAAAAGGCCTACCTTTGCATTTCGATCCAGAATTCTGGCCACTGAAGGCAAGCCTATAAATGTTACAAATAGCTGCTAGTTTGACGTGCCTTATTCTGGTTAAAAAGCCCTGTTATGAAAACCATTAACGTTACTCAACCTTTTGAGATCTTGTCATAATTTTGATTTCAAATCTAAGTGTTCCTATTGTACTCTGGGGGTTAATTATTGTTCTGGGAATGTTGAGCAGCTGTGCTGAATGGGTGAGAAGGCTGCTCACGCAACAGTGATCAAAATGCTCCAATGTGCTAGAAAGGACGGAAGAATCAGTACAAGAACCATGTTATCATTGTTTTTCGCGTAAGATGACTGATGAATACTTGAGTCTTTTCTCTCTTAAAATATATCGCAGCTGAAAAGATTAAGAATGGATTAAGGTATCTACCACGACAATGGAATGCCATGTACATTACCTTCTTGCTATTAAATTTATCAATGTTAGAAATAAAAGTGATTTTATCAACCACAAGTTTTACCTTTTTTAAAATCGTGATTTTTTTTCCAGTTAAATTAACAAAATACTCAATTGTTTGTTCTCAAATGTATTGTTATTGGGGTGGATGGTTCTGAAATTAACTGGGGGAAAAAATCTAGGCTTTGAATCTAAGCTACAGAGCAACTTGCAAATTTCAGAGACTATAAAACAGAATCCACTGGTCAGAAATGTTCTGGAAAAAAAATGCCTTTTTGCCACCCCCCATTTCAATTATTCCACACTATGTTATATTTTCAGATACACTGTAGACTGAAATATTGTCTCAGTACACTGGTAGAATGTGAGCTTTGCTCCCAATATCTCCAACGTCACGTCCCTTATTTCAGGCAGGCCAACAGGGGCAGTGGTTCCCAAAAGAAAGGCCAGCTCACTTTAGCTGGTCTTGTGCACCGCCAACCCACCAGTTATTGAGTGACTCTGACAGAAAAGGCCCCAGTCAACCAGAGAATGGTGGAGAAATGATGGGAATCTGAAAAGGGAAGTGGCGAGAGGGGAAAAAGGTTTTTTTTTGCTCATTCCCTCATAAAAGTTCAAAGACTTTTATAGTTTGAGACAAGTTAGTCTTACAGCATGAATCTAACCCACCAGATCACTGTAAAGCTTACACCCTGGGCTGGGAAGAGCAGCAGATGATATTGGAGCCTGACACTGAACCATTTGGCATTCTGTGCAAAATGGGATCACTGTCAATCACCTTTGTTGAAGCAGCCTTATGGAGGTGCACCAGCAGTGTCTTAGTAAGGTAAACAATCTGAGGAAGATGCTCAATTTAAAGACATTGCCACCATAAAATGGGATCCTCTCAACATATCCGTACCTAATGTGCAAAATAGGATACGATACTGCCTCCTGTATCAATAGAGCGGTGGCTTTTGTTTCAACACTTTCCACCCACCCATAAACACAACTTCCAGTTGATGATATTCTAAGGAAAGATTTTGCCAAACATGAAATGACTTCCACTTCCTCCCATTCAGAATTCCGATAAATAATCATCATCCTGGGAATTGAACATGTTACTGAGTTTCAAACACTCCACCCAGATATGTTGACTTGTCATGTATTAGCTTTAAAACTATTGGACTGGCACCAAGTTCATTCCCCTCAGATTCTTAAATCCTTTTCCTTATCAAAATTGCGTACAAGACTGGAATTGGTTTTGCCAATAAAACAAAAACTCTTAAGAACTGGGATCCAATTAAACCACAATACGATTTACACTTATACTAGGACCTTTCACCCAGGGAGGATGCCCCAAATCACTTGACTATTCTGACTGAACACTGGAACTGAGGGTGGTGAACAAGGAAAAGATGACCAAAGAGTGACAAAGAGGTATGTTTTGAGACATTCCTTGAAAATGCGGAGCGAAGCAGGGAGCAATGGGAATGGAGTTCCAGAGGAGGTTGCAGAGGTAGTGTGGGGCAGAGACCATGCAGCGATTTTAAATATGGGTTCATGTGTTTAAGTTAACAAACCTTTAAATATTGGTTTGTATTCCAAGTGTAGTGGTGGAGTCCTGTAGCTCAGTGGTCAGAGCGCTCGCCCGGCAAGCAAGAGACCTGGGTTTGATTCTTGGCAGGGCGAAACCTTGGGCAAATTTCCTTACTCCACACGCCTGATAATTCCTCAAAAAAAAAAATTTGATCAGTCAATTCATGACTGTTTGTGGGACACTACTGTGCACAATTGGCTGCCACATTTATCCCAGAAATATACAGTCAATTCACTTTACAGTACATGCTGTGAAATGCTTTGATACGTCTGGAAGACATGAAAAGCGTTATATCAAATGCAAGGATTATTATATAAAGTAGACATTTTAATGGGGCTGAAATCAATACAATGAAATAAGCAATTCTGAAATTAGAGTTTTACAGATACATTCTGGAAGATATTTGATTCAAGCAAAATAAGTATCTTAATAAATGTAGCTTTTTCCTGTCTCAACCACATTTTCCCCAATGCTGAAAAAGTTTAGGTAGAATTGATTTTTATAACCCTGAGTTCTTCAGTAAGGGCTCGCAAATGTAGGGCACAGAAGCAGGGCACGACAGGCTCTCTCGCATTTGATGTGAAGGCAGAATCCAGTATCAGCATAGATTGCTTCTTTGGGTTAAAAAGATTAAATGTTGCATCTCTAATAATCAATAGCTGGGGACATCAGTAAGCTTTCAAAGGCAATTTAAGCAGAACGATGTTCAATTTAAAAATAGAAACGGAGGAGCAAATGGAATACACACCAACCCTTAGGGCAACATCATATGAATCCTGAACATTCGCTTCTTTAAGGACAGAAGATTGAAAAGCAATTGACAGGCTTCTATTCCACAATCTTGCTGACTGAGAGGAATCCTGACATATTTGGCAATTTTAGGTGTAAACTGCAGTATAAAGGTTTATCCGCAGGATTTAACAAGTACATATGCTATATGAATATCTTTTTAGACCCCATAATCTGGTTGTGATTCTGATTTTGTCAATTCACTTTCATACATACACACACAGAAAGCACATTGTGGCTGCACCTACTAGCAACGAAAGAAAAAGATTAATGGAACTTAAATGAACATTATTTGGTCAACTACCCATTGTGCTCATTACAGAACGGTGCCCCCATTAGAACCAACTCATTATCCCAAATTGAGGGGCAGAAAATTGCAACAGTTACCCTGTTTCAGTAACAATTTGTCCTTCTGTACGCACGCCCAGGTATAGGTTACAAAGGCACTTGCCAGGTTGGAGAATAGTTTCGGTGTGTTGCACAAAATAATAATCCTTTCATTTGAAATAGCGTATTTCATGTTGGGAGGATGTCTCAACCCATATCGTAGAGTTTTACTGGAAAGTGACATGGCAGCCAATTTGCATGTTGCAGTGTTCTACAAGCAGTCATGAAGTGACTAACCAATTTTATCCGGGGGTTTGTTGAACAGAACACCGGGAGAAACCCTTTTGAAATAGTGCCATGGGATTTTTAATGTGCGCTTGAACCAGCAGATTTATGGTAATGTCTTATCCAAAAGACGACACCTCCAACAATGTCACACTCCCCCAGCACTGAATTGGAGTATTCGCCTAGATCGTGAATTCAAAGTCCTGACATAGGGCTTCAACCCATAACTTTCGCACGCAGAAGTGAGAATGCTTCTCTGCTGACACTTGTCACACAGTCATGGTAATGGGGGGAAGGGGAAGCAGGAGTGAAAAATAGAAAGGCAGGGGTGACTTTTATAATCAATTGAGAACATTTTTACATTTTTAGAATATTTTGTTCACATTTTAAAATGCTCTGCAATTTGCACATCTAAAGGACCATTAAATGTCACCAGGTAAGCAAATTGCTACAATGTTCTAGAAAAATGGTTCTATATTCTGTAGAAGATAGCTTTTTACGTCATTAACAAGTCCCAGGAGTCTACTAAAATGAACTGAAGCAAATTTGTCCCAGTCAAGGACATCTTCAGAGGCCCCTGTATTGTGAGGAAACAATTGTTTTTACATAAATAGCTTGAAACAGGACATTATAGAGATACAGTGTACAAGGTTTTAAATGAGATTGAGAAAGCAAGCCCCAAAACAATACTTTGAAATCTACTAGGGAACCAGATTGAATGTTTCATTGACATCACTTCAAAATATTTATCAGTTCTGTGGAGTCCTGTAGCTCAGTGGTTAGAGGACTCGCTTTGCAAGCGAGAGACCTGAGTTCAATTCCAGGCAGGGCGAAACCTTGGGCAAGTTTCCTTACTCCACACCCCTAATAATAATCCCTCCAAAACCAAAACCAATAATAAATTGGTCATTTTCAATCTACGACTGTCTGTGGGACATTGCTGTGCGCAATTGGCTGCCGCGTTCGCCCACAAATATACAGTCAATTCACTTTACAGTGTGTTCTGTGAAGCGCTTTGGGACGTTCTCCCGACGTGAAAAGCGCTATATCAAATGCAAGGATTATTATTATTAGTTCCTAACATCTCCCACAGAACCCGTCGGAATTGCTCTAAGATTTAGAACTTGGTATATAAATGTTGGGTCTCCATCATGTCCTAATGCAATACAATTTACATATATGCACATCTTTCACATCAGGAGAATGTCTCAAAGTGCTTGACAATGCTGTCAAGCCCTGAGTTGGGGAGGTAGTAAAAGTGGAGAGGGAAGGGGAAAGATGACCAAACGTATGGTCAAAGAGACATGCTTTGAAAGAGTAAGCCAGTCAGAGGCCCTCTGGATGGAGTTCCAGAGAGCAGGGGCAGAATGGCTGAAAGTCCACCCACTGATGGTGGGATGAATGGGGTGGTGGGCACAAAGAGGCCTACGGTCTACTCCTACTCCTCAGAAAATACAACCTCAGCAAAAGGCCAGAAAAAAAGACAAAAATCAGAAGAATGAGGGAAGTACGGGTTACATTGTTTCTGTATTTATACTTTTTCTTCCATTTCCCTGGTGATTTTCCTGCACACAGACATCTTGGACCCAGATAGGGTCACAATGTTTTTTCAGTTGTTATGGACTGTCCAAGATGTCATCCATCATTCAGGGAAAAATAAGTTGTCAACTGGAGGGAAGGTCTGGGCATTATCTGGAAACACTACATTCTTAAAATTGCTCTGATAATTTATGTCCCCATTCAAAACTATACAATCTAACGTAAAGCACAAACACATTACGTAGATGGCTAACCATTAAAAGAGTACTAACACACACTAATAACACTCACACTTTATAAATCATACACTTAATAAATCTACTGGCTTTCCAGCAAAGTTCAAGCCTTTATACACTGCAGAACCTATCAAGGACTTCTGTTTACTTTAAGGGATTTACTTGTACTGTACTGTATGTATGGTTGGGATTTGTTTTGAACAAGAGGATTTAAATGTTTATAGCAGACGTTAAACTCTGCTGTTCGTGTTGAAAAACATTCGTAATTCGAGATAGTTTTTGCTGCTCAGTCAAAAACATTT